TATTAACGTGACGATTTTTAAAATTCAGGAATTGTTCATAAAAAGATGAGAAAAAGAAACTAGTGTTGACTGACTGAAGTGTTTCCTTTGATTTCCCAAATATATAAATAGCGATCCAAAAATTTAAAAATATCAGGGAGAAGAAAAACAATTATGCTTTATTATATCATGTGTCCGCTGTGACATGCTTGAAAATACACGCACAAGCTTAGAAAGCCTGTTGAGAAATTCCTTGCACTCCTACACCCCAAATTTGTAGAAAGCTAAAACCGCTGAATAAAAATATAACAGTAATGGGGGTGGGGGGGGGGGAGGGAGACAATGAGGATGACATTCAACCCCATCAGAACATCACATCGAGGGATAAAGACCCGATGACACAGAGTGCCACTATTCGGATGAGGATCACCGGGAACTGGTACTCGAAAATCCCGTTCAACAGATAGTTTGGGTTATATTAGGGCCCCAGACAACAGCCAGTGTGGATTTGCAACAACAGAAAATTGCGTCTAAATTGGGACGTAGTTTAAATGAGAAAACAGCACAACCGAATCAGGGAAAGGTTACAAGAGATAAATCTTCAGATTAAAAATAAAATTACATTCTTGACTCATAACGCACCTTCACAGAATGAATGAATGCCGAAATGATTGAATCAAAATTAACTTAATCCCCCTTGGAGCAATCCTTCACGTGGTCTGTCCCTTTCCTTAGAAGCTAACGACAATTTCCTCTTCTGATAATTCCAGTGGCAACCTGATTAAATAAATGTCCGCCTATCACTTACCCTGCTTATTGGAAAATCGTAAGACCCATGTGTCTACTTCCCCCTGAATTAGTCTTTCGATAAAGGATACTCTGCTCCGCTGCACGATCCACCTCATTCCAGAGAGCTTTCACCCCGTCCACCTTTGCCATAAAGTGGCTGACCGCCCAGAGGGGCAGTAGCAGCCTTAATAGAATACTCTCGGAGATATATTCTGTAACTATGGAGCACACAGGAACTATCGTCTCTTCTGAAGCTTCGTGTACAATGTGGAGATGAGTTGAAGGCTAAAGGTTCAACCTTAACTCATCTCTACATTATACACAAAGCTTCAGAATATGCTAGGACAAATCAAATCTGTCCCAGAGACAGAGCGTAGTTAAATTTGATACGGCTCTATACTTGTTTTACTATATTAAACTTTGAGTACCCGGTGAAAAACGACACCACTTTGTCTCACAACACATGTAAACATGCACTGAAGCTGTAGTTACAAACTCAAATCAATGTGGAATGCAGTTTTTCGCTTTTTGAATCACCAGCCTGGCTTATGCCGCGGGCCCTAAATATAACTGGGCCACCGCATGAGGACACTTTGTGCCACCGGGTTTATCGCTTTGTGTGACATCCTGTTGGGGTAAAACTTACATACATACATACAAAGCAAGATATTTAAAATGAAAGCACAGTATGTGTTCAAATTAATGCATTATTTAATACACAAAGATTATTAAGTAGAGCCTTGATTATTACGGTAGATTTGCAATACACTTAAATGATTACAAGAAATAAGTAACTAATACAGAAGAAGTAATTTTAACTTACACAATAGTGGCACCCAGTTAAAAACATTTATACATCTATATTAATAAAAAAAGTTAATTTTTCGATGATGTAAGCTAAAAACTCGGAAACTACTGAACCGATTGCTTTCATATTTGAACACAACGTTGCCTTTGAGTCCAAGCGTGATTTTTATGGGTCAGAAAATCGCACAAACCACGAACGACGTAGCTCCAGCAACCGTCAAATGCTTAATTATTTCGTTGCCGGCCCGGAATTATTTTTATGTGATCGGCCATATTTGACTGCTGAGCTCTTATTGAACTTTGCGTTATTATATAATTTCATTTCCACTAATTACTTGAGTGTTTGGTAGCGTAGTTGTTAACTATTCTGCCTATCATGCAGGTGACCTGCGTTCGATTCCCCGCTAGGTGACATAATTTTTTTTAGCCCTCAACTGGGCGGCTCACACGTTGTGTTGTGGTTTATGGCTAGGCTGCGATATCTGACTTAAACTCTTCAGTCGTCGGTAGTTAAGTTGTAAGTATGTCATCCTTCACTCAGGTGACCGGTGTTCGATTCCCTGCAGAGTGATAATTGTTCTTTTTCCCATAAAAGGTGGTTGCCACGTTGTGTTGTGGTTTACAGCTAGGCTACGATATCTGCGCCTTTTGCACAAAGACATCCGATTTCAGTTAAGTACTAATTAACCTCCCCACGACGCATCTCGATAAAAAAAAACTATTCGGCGATGACAGAAACTGTTTTTTTCCCTATGTCCGGGGCAAAATCAAACTAAATAGTCAGTGGCGACAGCATGCGGCGCTAACTCCTCTTTTCTACACCGACCTACACAGACTGTAGTGACAGTTTTTGTTGTTGTTGTGATGGTGGTTGTGGCTGCAGTAGTACTGGTACTGGATGGGTGATGTGGTAGCTGTTACACGGCTACATTTACTTTTCTGTCTGTACAAGTTAATGCTACTTTTTTAAGTATGGGTAGACACGGATGCAAAGCTCAATTTAGTTACAATGTTTCGTAACACGGTGACTTTCCCATTCTTCGGAGAAGATGATATGATTGGAGGAGGTGGGGGTTATGCCAGACACAGTTAGCTGAAAGAGCTTAAAATATTATTTTAAAGTTCTCATTTCTTAACTATTTCTATTTTAATCATTTCGCCTACGGAGAGGGAGATATGATTAAGGGGGGGGGGGGGGGGGGAGAGAGATTATGCCGGACACAGTTAGCTGAGAGAGCTTAAAAATGTATTTTAAAGTTCTCATTTCTTAACTATTTATATTTTAATAATTTCGCCTTGGGTGATTTTTCAGTCCTTCGGAGAGGGAGATATGACTTCGCCAGGTGATGATTTTTCAATCTTTGGGAGAGGGAAATATGATTGGTTGAAGAGGGGGGGGGGGGGGTTATGCCAAACACAGTTAGCTGAGAGAGCTTAAAATGTTATTTTAAAGTTCTTTTTTCTTAACTATTTCTATTTTAATAATTTCGCCATGGATGACTTTTCAATCCTTCGGAGAGGGAAATATGACTGCGTCGAGGGGAGAGGAGTGGGATATGACAGACACTGTTAGCCGAGAGCTATTTTCTTTCCTCTCTATTTCACCATTCTGGGCCACAGCAACGCTAGTCCAGCTAGTAAGTATAATGACGAGAAACAGTAAGTAAATTACCTATATTTATGTTAACCTATCTCCACTACGCCGGCCACCTTTACTTCTTAAGACATTATCTGGCACCTATTTTAGGCTGGGTCGACGCGGGAGCCAAAGTAAATAAAAAAAAGCGTTGATACAAACAGTCATCAACCAAACTTATATATTGCGTTGAAACAAACAGTCACAAACTAAATACATGTGTTGCTTTGGTTCAAACAGGCAAAACCTGAACACACATGTTGCGTTAATACAAACAGACAAACTGGAAATATATAGTGCGTTGCTTGGAACAGAAAGAGTTAAACAACAATGTCCTTAGCTCCTTTGACCAGCCTGCTGAAAATTGGCCAAAATTCTTCTTCGCTTTCACAGCAAGATCTGGGCCTTAAGATATTGCTCGGCTTGCATAATAATTATTCAGGCTTCACAACTATATGTTAAAACTGCCTCTATATAACATGCGAGAAATTACTTCGAAACTTCCAGTGACATGGGATAATTTGAAACACACTGATGAAATTAGAAAAATATCTGGACAAATACCTGTATCGACTCCAGTAATACAAAGAAGATGGAAATAAACTGGGCACACTCTGAGACTAAATAAGCAAAGAATTACAAAACAAGCACTGAAATGAGAAACAAACGATCTGAGAAAAAGTTGTGGTCCAAGTGCAACATTTTAAAACAAAAACATTATTGCCCCAGGAAAAAAAATGTAAAAATGCTATGCTGAACACCAAGGCAAAAATCTAGAGAGTTACACGCAGTAGGGGGGGGGTGGTGGGGGGGGGGAGGAGGAGGGGGGGGGGGTGGGGTAGAGGAATCGAATGCGAGCCCTGTGTGACTTTTAACAGCCCACAAAAGATGATGATGATGAATACGGATTGTTGGTTAATACCGCTGCCGACATTGCTATGCTGCTCTTTAGCTTTAGGTTGCAAGCCATAAGGCACGACTCGTGTTGATATACCATCAGCCATTGCAAGGACTTAGCGGCGCCCGAGGTTGAGGCGTTGCGAATCCAACTAGTGATTCCAACGTGCCGAGATCGAAACCCACTGCTGACTGCGTGGATTTTTAGCACAGTACGGGGCGTCGCCGGTCGACCTAGCCTAAGGATGTATGTCTTGGGGAAGTAAAGACAGCCGGCGTAATGCTGACCACATTACCCACCTAGTACCGATCGGTCTGTAAAAATGTGGGTGCTCTTCCCATATGCCCGATGCACCAAAATGCATAAAAAGGGGACTTTTACTTTACTTTACTTTTATTTCAAGGACTCAATAATTATTCTCAGTTTCAGTCAAACGATACAATTCAGTCAATAAACCAATTAAAATTTCTTTTGCAAAACGCCGCTATCTTTACGACATGTCTGAAAACCTTTTCTCCTCTAGCCACTTCTCCTCTAGCCACTTCTCCTCTAGCCACTTCTCCTCTAGCCACTTCTCCAGAACTGTGGGATTTAATTGCAACTGCCTCTTCTCATCTAGCCACTTCTCCAGCACTGTGGGCTTTTATTGCAAATGCCCCTTTTATGCCCTATATCCAACTTCAGTTAGAGAGGAAGCAAACCAGGAAGAGATCGTGAAAGAAGATGCTGGATATTGCAGCATCATTATAGCATTGAGGATAATGTGAGCCAGAAGTGACTGCAACTATACGAGACACAAGGCTGTAGAAACCTCATAATCACCAAAGCCACACAGCATGGACTATTAGAAATCTTTCCTAAAGATAAATTCTACAATCATCATTGTACTATCTATACTTTATTTTCCAAACTGATCTTATGTGTGGTCGTGCTTCTCATATTTTTACATGGCATCCAGAAGAGCAGGGTATCAATAAAAACCTCAATTACTTCCATAGCAGTTAAAAGAGAGCACCCCAGCCAAAGCCCCAGCTGACCGCCAACATCCCCAAACAGCATGCTCCAATCATATTTGGGCTGTGTGTTAAATTCGACAACATCGAGACTATCGAAGTAGATCTCCAGTCTCAAAAAGTTGGTTTGAATGAAACGTTTCAGCGCCAGCTTGGTCGTGAAAGTCATGTTCTTCAAGACAGTTTCGTTAATTTTATGCAAGACGAAGTCCAGGTAAGGATCAGACGGCCAGAGTGCAGTGGAAACAACCTTTTCAAAGGTGGTCTTATCGCAAGCCGGAAGGCACCGGGTAAAGCAGTTTAACCCGTCGGTTAAATAATCTTCCTCAATTTGTATCATGCATTCAACAGTTTCACTGTCCATTTCACAGTAAGGTACCGTCTGCCCTTTCTCTGGATTTATTCCGGCCATCTTAAAGAGTGCGTCATCGTCACACGGCAAGTCTTCGTCGCAACAACGGCATCTCTTGTACATAGCCAGCTGGAAGCAGGATTTCCTGCAGGCGTTTTCTGTGTACGAGTACTGCTCGCCTGAGAACAGGGTGAGCTGTGCCATGTGCTTGTTCTGGGCATCAATACAGCTGCCGTAGGGGGCTGGTAGTTAGTGGGTTATTGTCTGGGAAGAACATATTGAAAGTCATCAGCATTATTACCATTGTCTTTTTCTGTCAGCACCTTTATCATCAGTCAACAACATCATCAGTATCATCATAAACATCACAAATATCATTATTGTAATTATCATTGTTATAATGAAGCTTTATTATAATCGTCCTCATTACCATCATCCTCATTATCACCATCATCCTCTTATTATCATAATTAGTATCATCGTCATGGTTGTCATCATAATCATCATCATCATAATTATCATCATTATAAGTATCATCGTCACATGATCATCATCATACGTATCATCATCATAAGTATCATCATAATAAATATTATTATCATAAGTATTATCATATTAAATATTATTATCATAAGTATCATCATAATTATCATCTTCCTAAGTATCATTATCATAAGTATCATAATAATAATAATAATCATCATAATTATCATATTCATAATTATCATCATCATAATTATCATCATCATAAGTATCATCATTATAAGTATCATCATCATCACGATCATTGTCATAAGTATTATAATCATAAGTATCATCATCATAATTATCACCATCATAATCATCATCATAAGTATCATCATCATTATGATCATTATCAGAAGTATCATCATCCTAAGTATCATCATCATAATTATCATCATCCCCGTGTGGGTTTCGGGGCCCTATTGTGGGGAAAATAAGAATAGACCCACTGCCTCCCCAAAAGCATGTCGTAAGAGTCGACTAATTGGTGAGCTTCCTTTGAAGTCGGAGTGCTTCAGCCTGAGAGACAAGGAACCAGCAGTCTGCATTTAATTGAATCAGATCTGTAAAACTGACGTACACGCAACACTGGAGCAGGACTGCAGCCTAGAAGTGAACGAACAACCAGAACTTTACGCCAGAGTTTACAGCTGGTGAACGCGAAGAAGAAGAAGAAGATAATTATCATCATCATAAGTATTATCATCATCATAAGTATCATCATCATCATGATCATTATCATCCTCATGACTATGATTATAAGTATCATCTTCTCATGATCATCATCACAAGTATCATCATCATCAGCATATAATCACTATACATATCATCATTATCATCACAAATATCATTAAGATACAAATCATCATTCATCATAAGTGTCATCATAATTATCATCATGATTATTATTATTATCATAAGCATCATTATCAACGTCATCAGCACCAAGTGAAAAAAAATAAGTAATCGCACTCAAGGTACAATGAAAAAAATTATTCCACAGAATTGTAAGATTTTTGAACAAAAAAAAAACAGAGAGGAGGAGCATACTACCACACACACACATACACACACATACAGACACACAAGAAACATTGCGGCGGTGTAAGCGTTTATCAATACGCAAGAAACAACCACGGTGGATATCTCAGACCATGACAACACCCCTATCTGCCCCCCCCACCCCCAACCCTTCTTTCCTCCCTCCCTGGAAGTCACACCTATTCAGTTTCCGTACTCTTTGTTTACGTGCAATTTGCGAGTGATCTCCCCTGGGGGCGGGGAGGGAGAAGCTGTGGCGAAAACCTGTTTCCAGAACCTGTTACCTATGACCAGTATTTTCTCCTTTAGTATGTTGTTGTTGTTGTTGTTGTTGTTGTTACTGTTGTTGTTGAGTCTGTGTCAATAAATGCTGCAGCTGAATTGTTGGATTTTCCCTGTGTGTGTTTTTTCCCACCTTTCCCTATTATTCTGATGATCGACATCGTCAACATCATCATCATCATCATCATAAATAATGATCAGTAAGATTTGAAGCCTTAAATTGGTAACAGAAAACACTCCCGTCCCCTCCCCCCCCCCCCCCAACTACGAACATAAGTGTTCAAGAATCATAGAATCTGTTACCACATACCGCATTGGTCGCTGTATAAGACGCACTATTTTCTTCCTAAAATATGCATCAAATCGGATGTGTTGTAAACGACGACGGTAGACCTACATGTCATTTTTTCATAGTTGCCAGCACTCAAGTCTTCCCCTGCCAAGATCTTCAAATGCTCGGAGTATAATGATAACGATCGACCTAAGCACGAGACAGTATAACTTTGAAGTCCCAGAGGAGGAATGAAGGAAACCTGGAGTGTGAAGGAAGGGGGAGGGGGAGGGGACATACAAGCATGTCGTAAAGTGCGACTAATTAAGGACTTGACGAAATCGGATGTGTTGGACTGAAAGACTCAGGTATTAGCCTAGCTGTCAATCACAACACAACATGTCTACACCCTTCAAAGGGTCAACAAAGAAGAGGTTACCTTTTTAATCCCAATGCTTGTTGTGACGCCTGGATGTGCCAAAATTCCGCCATCCTCTGGAAACGGCCGTTCATCGTGGCCGTGCACAATGACCTTTAACCCTGCGGTTGGAGACAAGTAGATGTAGTCCCGGTGCTCAATGTCCAGTTCTAATATCAATCCGCTCTCGGGTCCAGCCTTTGTTGTGTACCTGTTGAATGTTAAATTAAGAATCGAAATTACAGCATTCGGGACACCCTCATAAGCGCTCCGTCCCCATCTTCAGCAGCAAGCGAAGTGTTAAAATTCCTTTAGTACCAGTACTGTCTGATTGTATATCTGTCTCGTCTTTCCTCAGAGTGTCGAGTGTCAGCTGTTGTCTACTTTTGGTTAGGTAAGACAAGCGACATTCAGTGAACTCTTATTATAGCTAAAATCAACACAACTAAATATTCTGTTATCCTTTGTTTGTTAATATTACTAAAAAGGATATACATAAAAAGATAAATAATACGGAAGAAAACAAAGAAAAGAGAAGGAAAAACCCCGACAGTGTTGGCGATCATGACTGTCTACATTATGTGATTCGCAACAGGCATCTATCAGTTCGTATGTGGACATCACTGCATATTATGGCAAACGGCCGTCCAAAATCTTCTGGCACTGTCTTCCTCTGCCTCTCGTCCACATATCGTTTTAGTGCACACAACATGTTCCAGTTCCCCATTTTCATAACATGCTCCAGTTTCCCTTTTCTCATAACATGACCCCCCCCACCCCCCCCCCCCCCCCCCCCCCCACCCCCAACAATGATTACAAACCCTTTCTGATGTTTGTGGTAAGTTGTCTTCGAGCACTCGCTTCTTTCAAAACATCTAGGTTGCTTTTTGTTTTGTGTTAAGCTGTCCAAGGAATTCTAAGGATTCTTCTTTAAAAACTACATCTCCGAGGCCTCTAGAAACTGTTCGGTTTGTTTAATAATTTTCCAGTATTCACAGCTGTATGTTAAAACTGGCACTATATAGCATGCGTCACATTTAAAAACATAACAGTATGGTAAAGATCATCCTAGAGGGAAAGGTTCAAGGTAGGCGAGCAAGAGGCAGACAGCGTTAAAAGTGGGAGGATAACATCAAGAGATTGACGAACAGCAGTATGTGTGAGTGTACAGCAAGGGCAAGAGACAGGGCTTGTTGGAGATCTATTGCAGCCAACCTTCATTGTGGAGACGGCACCTGATTGATTGATTGATATAGCATGCGAAAGTACTTTTCATAACCTCCAATGACATGAATTTATTGCAAACAATCTTCTTCATTTTATACAGTGCATTTTTTTGGTTTGTCCATTTCTATGAATTCTGTACCTTTAAAGACTGTAGAACGAGGGCATCAACAAAGCGTTTATAGTTTAAAAGTTCGCAATGGGAACATGAAAAAATAGTAATGAGGAAATATGTAACAGATGTAAGGAATACTTTGCTGAAATGTTAAATTGTGAAACTCCACTTAATACTTATCCGCAGGAAGAGATATTAACATGTGAAAAAAGTATTGAAGAAGCTGATATTGAATAGGTACTGTATTTCATAACACGGCTCAAAAACAATAAAGCAACTGGTGCTGATGGAATTGCATCTGACTTTTTAAAAGAAGGTTGTCATGCATTACATGTAAAGATATATGAATTAAATTGATGTTCTTGTCCTAAAATAACCCATTTAACTTTCGTTATGCATTTAGGTTCTGTTTTTTCTTTGAAAAAAAACCATTACATCTGTCTTCCTATTATTCAAACTTAGGCCCACTTTTTTTTTTTTTACACCACAACCGTCGCGTCTGTGGCTTAGGCTTTGTGAACGCGCTTTGTAATGCAGAGGTGCCGGGTTCGATTCCATCTGCTGACGATTTGTCTTGCGTTGGTTTCGACAGCGGTGCCGTGAGCTGACAGTCCAGGAAACAATGGCAAACTACTGAAAGTAATATTTTTCCAGAAAAATACAATAGCCGAAATCCCCACAAAAAGTGATTGGGTTGGTTCTGCAACGTTTTTAAAAGGATAGACAGCAAACTTTAACCACCAAAGTATCAATCAATTCAAATAGTTCTTTCTGACTTGTCGCTTTCAAGACGGTACCGTCATGAATATGACGTAGGTTGCTTATGTTAGGACCATCAACCACAAGTCCTGGCTTATCCATGGCAGATCTCGTTATACATTCACTGTAAAATGAGAACAAATCTGGTAATTTTACACATCCGATTCACACTCCCCTCTTTATACCACATCATCATACTCGAATGAAATGCACACATGTAAAGTATACACTACGCTGTAAACAGACACACATCGATTTGGGGTCCTCAGTTGCGAAGGTATAACAGTTTCCGTAGGTTGTGGTTGAATGTTCTGTAAAGTTGTCCATTGAACACACGTGCTGTGATCAGAAAATTTTGAATTATATAGCACATATACAACATTAAACATAATACAGTAAAGGACACAAGACTATCTTTATTAAAACCATATACGTCTACACGTGCATATACACGTGTATAAACATACATTTATGTTAAATGTTGAATTAGGACTCGACATAATAGCACTCGGGACACTCCCATAAGAGCTCCATGCCCATCTTCGGCAGCAAGCAAAGCGTTTAAATTCCGATGGTACCATGAACTATCTGATTGTATTTCCGTCTCGCCCTTCTCTTGAGTGTTGAGCGTCAAACACATTCCCTGGTGACTCCCTGGCGCCACATTTTTTTCTCAGACCGTAATGATGTTTTTGTGCCTCCGCACTGTTCACTCGCTCCCACAAGGGCCCTCACAACATCTGATTTGTCATACATTTTTGTTATACATCAATTTTAGTCAGTTATTTACTCAACAGATAATCATCCTGACTGCGCTTTGAAGCATTCAGCCCATAAGTGATCGAATCCCCTCTTCAGTAAATTCTTCAGCGTGTAGCGGCTGATGACACCAATTCTGTGTTGTTTTTTATTATTCTTTGGCGCCCGGCATAGCTCACTTTCTTGCCACGCTTCTTCTAATATCTTCTTGTAGTCTGGTCGTATTTTCAGATTCAGAGGTATCCTTTGGTTCTCGTAAAAGTCTGACTTCTCGTAGAGCATTCAGTGTATAATCCTTGTCTGTGGCTTGTCCACCCTCCCCTTACTATTATCTGCAAACGTATCACCTTGTTCTTTTCCTCGCACGCATGTGTGACCTGGCATAAAAATGCAAGTGATAATTGTCCCGCTTCCTATATGTTACACAATATTATTGTCAATATTGTTCTTTTTGATCTTTTCAAGATCATCTTCATTGTACCACAACCGGCTCCAACTGACGGGCGTGCTGCTGACGTCACCGGGTCGGGCTAACGATACGTTATCGCAGCAGTTCTCAAACTGGGTGCTGCTCAAACTGCTGTTCCACGCCTTTAGGCGTAGAGGGCATATAGGGCTAGACCTATATTTTTATAGACCAACGGCACAAGATGGGTGATTTGGACAGTGTCACGCCGTGCCAGAGGTACCACGGCAATAATAAAAGTCGGCTAAAAATTGTGAAATCATTAAAGAAGGCATGTAGATACTTAAAAATTAAAATTCAAGTTGTCTTCTCTCGCCAGTGTCGAAAATTCGTGCTTGAGAACCGCTGCGTTAACGCATTGTTAGCCCCACGCGGTGACGTCAGCAGCACGGCCCCTCAACTGCAGCCAGCTGTCATCGTACATCGGACATCTTCATCGTACATCGGACATCAGCATAAGTGCTCCGATCTCCTCCTTAGTATGTTTCCACGTTTTTATTACACTAACCACGCCCATATCATTCTGGCTGATGTGATGACGGGTGGCTCTCGAATGGTCTTGCTGTCTTCAGTTCTAATTAGTACACCCAGGGTATGCAGTCTATTCAGTGAAAAGTCATTTTTCCACGAAACTGAAAGCCTCACAGCGTTAAGTATCTATTATAGCATTGATGATGTCTCTCTTGTCCATAGAGGGCCCATCCCTGATAGTCGCACTGCCGGCCATAGCGTCTGCTCTCTCATTACCTTTCACGTTGGCATAGACTGGGAGGAAAATGAAGGTGATTTTGCGAAACGATGCGTGCTGTATCAGATTTAGCCAGTTTCCGTATGTGACCCGCCGTGATCTTCATTCTGTAGCATGCTCATTGAGTCGCTGGGAATTCATGCATTTGTGAATTAATGAGTTTTCAGCCATTCTAGGGCCTTTGTCACAGGCATGACCTCCATTGTCATTCTGCTGGTGGTAGAAGCAAAGTACTGTGGTATTGTAAATAATACATTTTGTGCCGAAAGCCTAGAGTAAAGCCTTGTTTCAAACATCCCATATCAAAACCTAAGGCAAGTTGATCGAGGCTTGTGAAACACTCTCTAACCTATTAAACATATTATTTTTTAGCCGTGTTATGAGAAGAGAGAAAATGTTGCGACCACAGGAATGATCTGTGGAAGAAGGGATAAAAGAGGACATTGAGAGAAGATTCTGATGATTAAACATATCCTTGTCAATTTACTGATCATTCAGAAACTTATTTAACCGCTACTTCTCTATCCACACACGCCACAATAAAAAATTTTTTTTTTTCTAGATGGTGCCCTCTTGAATCTATGGTAGATAATATTCATTCTCTCCATGTCCCTCCTAATGTTGTTCAACCTTCCAGTTTGTTAAATTGTTCCGACATTCAATGTACAAATGTTTAGAAAGTTACTCACATTTACTCTGTCTACAGAAGCTGGGCGAAATTTGGGTATCACCTGTAGAACATGTTGCACCCTATCGGACAAGATGATTCCATTATAACCGCCATTAACGTCCTCATATAAATACGATTGGTTTAAAGGCATTTTAACTCTGTTGATGAGCAATGAGATATGCTGCGCTAGTCAGTCCAGGAGACATCAAAAACAGTTGATTTCTTGGACACATAGAGCCGAACAAAAAAAGTGGATGACAAAAGAAATTCTACAGATGATGGATGAGAGAAGAAAGAAAAAATAATTAAAAAGAATAAAAAAAAAAAAAAAAAAAAGAAGAATATTTTAGTATACATAAGAAAAAAATAGTTAACAAATGCAAAGAGGCAAACAAAAAACCGGGCTGAGTCAGGTGTGTCCAGAGATTGGGAAGAATGCCGGAAAGACTCACATTCCATGCACCAACAAATATGTATATTACCAGGGAAGAAAAGATGTATCATCACTGGGTGTTTACATTTGAAAGAAGGTGAAATAATAATTAAAAAATGGACAGAGTACTTGGGGGATCTGCGTCATGATGACAGAACAAAAGAATTTGTGCAGGACAACAACGAAGGCTGCAGAGGTTGCGGTCGCATTGCATCATGTAAAGAAAAGAAAGTGTTATGGGCCAGACATCACAATGGGAGAAATTAAAGCTTCGTGATATTTTGGCGTTTAAAAAAACCCACAAGTGTTAAATGGCAATAATAATAGTGGGTACATTCCTATTGACTTTTTAAAATCTTTTTTTTTATTGCTCTACCAAAGAAACCCGCCAGTTTAAAATTGATAAATATCGCACCACTAGTCTTATGAGTCATGTAACAATAAATGTTTCTGAGAATAATTATAAGAAGAATAAGAAAGAAACAAGAAATTAGTGAAAAACTGCTTGTGATACAGTAAAGAACATTTTAGCATTAAATCTATGTAATTAGAGATTAGGAAAAGAATTCTTGCATGCTATATTTAGCCAGTGTTAACTCACGGCTGTGAATCCTAAACATTTAATAATCAAGCCGAGCAATATCTTCAGACATCACAAGCTATGAAAATATCCGTCTAGCCCTATATGCAAATTCGACTTAAAGCGTGGACAAGAATCGTTTACTTTTACTTTTTGTATGGCATAGAGGTTGACCAAGCTACAACTGGCACTGCCAATTACTGCTTTAATTTTACCACTTTTGCGGTGTAAACAGGAGGGCTTTTGAGCCTGAACAATGGCGGCCGCATGGCTCGTGTTGTCGCCACGACTGTGCAGGTGAGCATTTTATTTTGGCCCGAACAGAAAAAAAAAAATCCCCCAGCTTTGCAGAGGATTCGAACCTTGGTCTCCCGATTGAGAGCCCAGCGTTTTAACCGTTCGGCCAGCCGCTCCTGCCAAAATGACTATGTGCAAAAGTCCTTGGGGGTTAAGTGTTTATTAACCGCACCATCCACCGAATGACCGCCAGCCTATAAAATGTGGGACTGGCATAATACGCTAGAAAAAAATCCTTAACTTTTTTTTTTTTTAAACGATTGAAAGTACTCGTAGTCCAAACATAAAATATTTTTCAGGAGCTATGGTTGTCAAATGTAAACTTCAACCATACTAGAGGCGCTGAAACATGGACAATGAAAAAGCCATTAGCAAGTTAAATCGCTGGCCTGAATTTACATAACAAGAACTATCTCATGTAACGAACGAAAAATCTTCACTGGTTCTCAGAACAATAGATGGAGAGTGAAACAAAGTTGACAAACATAAGTATGTGAAACATTTTTGCTACCTTAAACAACATCATCATCATCATCATCACGTACCCTGCTGTTTGGCGTAGGCGTTCATACATCTGAATAAATCAGTTCTACCGTTGATATTCTTCGTCAAAATTCATCCGTCATCATCTCTCTCGGTCTGCCTTTCCCTCTTATACCGTTGATCTTACCTGTCGTCACCACATGACAAAAGAACTGTGCTTGTTTTTTTCTTATATTCGTCATCATGATCATCATCATCATCATCATTATCATCATCATCATCATCATCATCATCATCATCATCATTATTATCATCAGGTGCCTTGCCGACCGGCGTGGGCGATCATGCCTCTCTATAATCTGCAATCTTCTGCTGCATGTGTCAGTTCGTGTGCCGACAAACCTCCATGCCATGCAACAAGACTGTCAAGAATCTTCTCCAGCTGTTTTCCTATATATCTCCTTCCTAAGATCTTTCTAGTGGTCACAACATGTTCCATTTTCCCTGTTCTCATAACATAGCCGAAGAATGATGACTGTCTCTTTCTGATGTCTGTGACAAGTTGTCTTCGGGCTGCCGCTTCTTTCAAAATCTCTTGGTTGCTCTTTATGGCTGTCAAAGGTATTTTAAGCATTTTTCTGTAAAACCACAACTCTGAAGCCTAGAGAAACTGTTTGGTCTGCCTACCGATTGTCCAGGATTCACAGCCATATGTTAAAACTGGATGTATGTAGCAATCAAGAATTCTTTTTCTAACCTCTAATGACAGAGATATATTGCATTAGACATTCTTTGTTTTATAAAATGCAGTTCTTGCCTGTCCTATTCTGTTTATTTTCTCAGTAATGCATCTTCCATCCGATGTTATGCATGTGCCCAGCTACTTAAATTTATGTACTTGTCCCAAAATAACACCATTGACTTTTATTATACATTTAGGAATAATTCATTTCTGTGATACCACTAATACTTCTGTCTTCCTATTATTTAAATTGAGGCTCATTCACCACAATGTCTATCATTTCCTCTAGTTCTTTCTGACTTGTTGCTATCAAAAATGTGTCACCAGCATAACGTAAATTGTTTATATTGTGCCTACCAACCACAATCCCGGGCATATCAGTTAAAGATCTTATTATATATTCACTGTATAGTGAAAAAAAAAAAAAAAAAATTTACAGTACACCTCCTTGTCGTACGTCCCTCTTTATGCCTCTAAATGTACCTAAACAGTTGTTAATTATTTTAGCTGCTGTTTGCTGTCAATATATATTCTTTATTATTCGAAGGTCTTTTCCATCAATGTTTAATTTTTCTAACAGTTTGATTACTTCTTCATGCTTCACACAGTCAAATGTTTTTGTATAGTCTATAAAGCATAAGTACAAATCAGTCCAAACTTATATAGCTCTTTCTGACAATGTCCTTAGGATGTATATGGCATTGTTTGTACCTTTTCCTTCTGCAAGTCCACATTGTTCATCGCTGATTTCTGATTTAATTTTGTTTCTTATTCTTCTCATAATTATTCTCAGTAAAATCTTAGTCATGTGACTCATTAAACCTTTTGTGCGATGGTCTTCACATTTTAAAGTGCCCGGTTTCTTAGGGTGCGGTGTAAATGTAGATTTTGAAAGGTCATTGAGCTGGAATACCCACTATTATAAACATCATTTAAAAGTTTAGTTATTATTTCGATTCCAAAATCTCCCAGTGCTTCGATTTCTTTCAGGGAGATGTTGTCTGGCCCGGTTGCTTTTCCTCGACTTCTGCAGTCATTATTGGTGGACCATCGGTGTTGGCCTGCAATTCTACATCTGGTCTATTATCATCATACAATTCCTCTATATACTCTGTTCATATGTCTATTATATTACTATGTGCCATTAATAAGTCGCCATCTTTTGATTCTAAACATCCAGTGCTGTTACGCGTCATCTTAACGTATTTATCTGCTGGTACAAGGAATTTGAGTGGTTTTCCCCAACGTCTTCACACATTTAATTCAGCCAGGCTTCTTTAGCCACTTTGCTTTTGTTCACTATCTCTTCTTTATCATTCTTTTTCTTATTCTTTCATCCATCAACTGCATAATTTCGGTTGAAATTTATTTCAAATTTTGCAACTCTATTGGTGGTGGGATTGTTTCTTTTGATGTATGCTAAATTAACTGACGCAACATATCCTACTGTTTGTGAATAATCTGTATAATTGCTATTGCATTAGACCGATTTGTGCACTGACACTGTAATGTTCCATAATTTTTTAATTCGTTCTAGGTATTCCTAAATCTGAATTGATGTTGTGTGGTATTTTCTATATTACTCTTTAGTTTTATTCAAATCTTTTCCTGGCTGTACATACTGATCTGCATCCATTTTAAACGACAATGTGCTCTTAAAGAAAGAGCCGTTTAGCGGCTAGACTATAGCGTCGTCCCCATGTGGGATGCAATTTTTAGTTATTTGGGAGCCCCACCATGGCTTGTGCTGGGCCTTAAATATGGCCTAAATGCTGAACGGGGTTTCCGGGACCTCTTCACGGGTGATCCTCCTCTCCATGGTGGCACTTTGTGTCACCGGGTGCTTATTGCTCTGTGTGATGTCCTGGTGGGGTACAACTTACCTACCTAGCTGCTAGATGCTCGCCTGCAGATCCAAAGGTTGTGGATTCAAATCCAAATATTGTCAGACTTTTTGTCTTTCTTTTCAAAGTGACATTGTCTCCCAGGTCGTTCCATAACTAAATAGGTAAAAGATCAAATCTCTGGAGGTACAAGCGCCTTTGTGATACTGACCACATCACCCACTGAGTGCCGATTGAACTATAACATATAGGTCTTGCTCTGTATGATCAATACGCCAGAAGGCATGTAAAAAGGTCATTAACTCTTAAAGAAATCATGCTAGAAAGAGGGGAAAGGGGTGGCGTGTTGAAGACAGGAGAGAAAGAAGTAGTCTAATATAAGTAGGAAGCCCACATTCAGATGTGGACAGTCTGTCAGATGAAACTATAAATCATGTGAAACAGTGTACTGCTGATTCACTAGATCAATCTTTCTATAGAGGCTGACTGGTTGAATGACTGATTGACTGATCAATAGATATTTTGATTTTGAAAAAGTGATTTAGTTCACCAAAAAGTGCTAGACGAATTAGCTATCCGTGAAATACGGTTGTGTATTTCACGGTTAAGGCATGCAGTTAATGCAGACACTTATATTCTGTGTAATTTCTTTTATGGTGATAATAATATGTTTTAAAATGATTCCGCAAAAAAAAATAAAAAAAAAAAAAAAAAAAAAAAAAAAAAAAAAAAAAAAAAAAATTTCCCTATATATATATAGTATATTTGTTCTCTTATAACTTTTTTGTAGTAATATCTATGTGGCATGAATTTTAGCTTGTCATTAATACTGTATATTGTTTATTCAAAGTTGAAGACTTTTCAAAGATCTTAGGTTGGGAGCACTATCACAAACAATAAGACACACAGCATTAACATAACATTCCAATTTTAGAGCCTCCGGAAGCTGTTCAGATAGTTCTTATGCTACAGTGGCATCTTCTATCTGCATTAAAAAGAAATGTTGTACAAAACTTTATTACACTAAGCGATGTCAGTTCGCATTTGCTATAAACTCCCATGCACTTCATCAGCTTCTTAACACAGAGCCACTTGTATAGATAATCATAGGGCTGGAGCTGGAATTATCATGAATCATTTGTTAAACTTCTGATTCTGCAGCGCCCGTTTGCCTGTCCCTGCACTTAGGGCCCAGTATGATCACAACTTTACACACGTCTTACTGTTGCTCGGACATTCAGACCCACTCCTCGCCCAAAGTTATCAAGCCTGCACATAAGTCTAATTGTGTCTTTACCGTCCATCTTTGGAATCTGTGACCATTAGATTTTTTTAGGGCTTCATTCAGAAGGTGTTTCTTATCTGCGGCTACTCTGATAGATGACTTTGCTTGCAGAACTTTGAGCCTATCTGCAGTAGTAGGCAGTGCAATTATATCACGCGCACATACTACGGGGTTATCTCTTGTACATCTCAGAATTACTCTGCATGTTCTTATGCTGGCATTTTCAGTATATTTGTTCTCTTGTAACATTTTTGTAGTAATATGTGGCATAAATTTTAGCTTGTCATTAATACTGTATATTGTTTATTCAAAGTTGAAGACTTTTCAAAGATCTTAGGTTGGGAGCACCATCACAAACAATAAGACACACAGCATTAAAGGAATACAGAACAGCTATCTAGGCGAAAGATCAAGTAGTTTCACGCACATACGTACCTTGTTAATCAAACATTTTACTAGCATGTCGGATATTTGATGAGCAGAACTGTCTTCGTCAGACATCGATAACATCTTCATCATCGCATTTACTGCTGCTTCATGTTCGTAAGATTCAAACTACAAAAATATGAAAACATATTACTTCACTTCAACAGTCTTTTCAGAAACTCTATTCTCAGTACTAGACTTGGACAATGTGACAGTAAACAGAGAAAGCCATACAGTGAAATGAGCTTCCTGAGAAGGTCAATAGACGAGTCGAGGAGAGAGAAGATTGGAAATTGTGAAGTCTGAAAGAAAGTCGGATAGCGGCAGCGGTGGATTTAGTCAATACACACCAAGTAGGATGGTTCAGCAATTTAGCTCGATGCAAGGAAAAGCTATCGAAAGAAAGACCATGCAGGATTTTCCAAGATTAATTCAGAGGATACAAAAAAGTGCATTTTAGTACTATACTAGCTTCGCAACCTTATATACTACTCAAAGGAACATCCATTTACAAACCACGCTGCTGCGCAAAGAACCACTGTTTACACATCACACTGACACAGCAAGGACTAGCATGAGAGAAGATGTGGTGAGATGATGAGATAGTTTTAACAACTCCAGTTTCCAGGCATACCTCATTGAGGCATATGCGACCGGGTCGCCCACTGGCTCGCCGGAAGACGACATCGTCTGGACAGTATTAGGGTCTGTCTTCTTTGATGACTTTAACACTGTATGAGTCCTTTTCATGGCTCTTGGTGGCGTGCAATGTATAGACATTTTATTTGGCATTCACAACCTAGTCACAATTATAACCTAAAGCTCCCCTTTCGGGGATGTTAGTTAAACCTGAGATCCCCCCCTACCCCCAGCAAAGCACTTACCTACAACATTGAGATGTCATCCACTGTACTATCATTAATATGTGCGGGTAAGTGCAAAACTGTCATATTCCATTTCATACGATCATCGGCATCATGCAACAGGTCAGTGTGAAACCATAGTCCTTTTTTGTCGCCTTGTCAATACTGAACAGTGGTCCATAGCCTTTGTCACAGTAGGGGGATTATGTGTCTACTGTCATGGAACCTACGAACACGATCAAAGAATCTACTGTACGATGATGCTGACTGCGAAGTTTCGTCAGTAATGTTTTTTTTTTTTTTTTCACTTCTGGTAGTCGTTTGCTCAAGACAAACACCAGTGCAAGCCAAACTTCACGGGTCGCTGACTGAATTACAACAGACAGTGCAGTTTATACTAGAAACAACATTGTAGATTTAGAAAATCTATTTCAAGCGAGTGACAGAAGAAGATAAGATGTCTGAGAAGAGCTGTAGGAGTGACCATAAGAGATAAGATCAGGAATGAGATCATAAGAGAACAAGTCGGCACAGAACCAATTCTGGATTACATACAAAGACAGCAAGTGAAATGGTTTGCCCACTTAGAGAGAATGCCTTGTGACACCATACCATACAAAGCATACATGGAAAGAGATAAAGGACGTAGAGCACGGGGTAGACCAAGAACAAGATGGAAGGATAACATCAGAGAAACTCTACAACAGCACGATGTGCCTATGGTCAAGGCAGCCAGAAGAGCTAGAAACAGAACCTTATATCTCCCTCGACACCCACAGCGGTAAAAGAGGAAGTGAAGAAGAAGAAGAAGAAGAAGAAGACAGAAGAAGAAGAAGAAGAAGAAGAAGAAGAAGAAGAAGAAGAAGAAGAAGAAGAAGAAGAAGAAGAAGAAGAAGAAGAAGAAGAAGAAGAAGAAGAAGAAGAAGAAGAAGAAGAAGAAGAAGAAGAAGAAGAAGAAGAAGAAGAAGAAGAAGAAGAAGAAGAAGCAGCAGCAGCAGCAGCAGCAGCAGCAGCAGCAGCAGAAGAAGAAGAAGAAGAAGAAGAAGAAGAAGAAGAAGAAGAAGAAGAAGAAGAAGAAGAAGAAGAAGAAGAAGAAGAAGAAGAAGAAGAAGAAGTAGAAGGATAAGAAGAAGAAGAAGAAGAAGAAGAAGAAGAAGAAGAAGAAGAAAAACAAGAAGAAGAAGAAGAAGAAGATGAAGAACAAGAAGAAAAAGAAAAAGAAGAAGGAAAAGGAGAAGAAGAAAAATAAGAATTTCTTGTAGTTGCCAGGAAGAGAGTGTTTTAAGTCATTCTTTTATATCTTGTAGTAAGTATTACAGCCACTTTGTGTTGATATTAGTACAAGGAAAGCTTATACTACTTTCTTAACTACATGTATTTATGAGTGGTATCTATCTATCTATGACAAATAATATATGTTTGTCAAAACTATGAAAAAGTTGAATTTAACAGATAAGTGTATAAACTTTACTGTTTATTTCATTGCCATATATTGAGAAGGTATTCCAACTCACAACTGGTGGAATAGATAAACGAGGAATCTCTCGGTCGTGAAGTCGAATTATTTGAGTGTTTTTGTTTTTGTCGTTGTTAATGTTGATACAATTACTAGCTCACCGATAGTGTCAGAGAAACAGACTTGTCCGTGTATTTAAAAAATAAAACCCCAATTGCAGTCAGTTGCTGTTTCCGCAACAAAGATTGGCTGCAGTTGATCTCCAACATGATTTGACTTCCCTACTGGATGTAAATTCTTTCAGACTGCAGTTCGTTTGATGTTATCCTCTAACTGCATCTTTGTCCGTAGTCTGCTGGCATGCCTTGAGCTGTTCCATCCAGCAGGGTTTTTAAAGAGTTTAATAGCTTTTAACTTGACCTAAATATTTCACCTCTCTCTCTCTCTCTTTCTCTTTCTCTCTCTCTCTCTCTCTCTCTCTCTCTCTCTCTCTCTCTCTCTCTCTCTCTCTCTCTCTCTCTATATATATATATATATATATATATATATATATATATATATATATATATATATATAAATCAATGTTTGTGTGTTTGTTTCACCCCTATAGACTCGGAAACTACTGAACCGATTTAGCTGAAATTTTCAGGATATGTTTGTTGTGATACCGGATTTTGAACCGTCGTGGTTTGAAATTCAACCTGTCACTGTTAGAGATAGGTGACCACAATTAATACCAAAATATACGCAACTAATATTTATAACTTTAGTGATTTCTGTCGTGAAATGATAGCCATTACGCATCGGTCTGTAAGGCTGATAACTTGTCTTACCTGTAATCTGCACAAAATTCAAACTTGGACTCGCCCAGAAATATATAGTCCCTTATATCTATTTATATATAGGCCTTTATTGGACAACATTATTATGTCTACCTTTTCTGGTTACTTTAACTAAACTCCACTTTTAAATGTATATATCTTGGATATATATGAAGGGAGTTATTTGAGGTTTCGTGGAAACCGATTTACTCCTTGCTCATGTATACTAGGGACTTCTTTTTGCACCAACGCCTGAAGTGTCTAAGTGACGCCATTCTTTTTGCCAGCTTACTAGCGTCCAGACGTGTCAATCTATGCCTGTATTATTTCATCTTTCAAGGCGATCTGGAATGTCTCAGTTTTTTACATATGCTTGGGTAAGTTAATCATAGTTTACGAGTACCTAAAATGATGTCTGTAAAGTAGTCACTGCTGTAGAGAGATCAGTATCGGCTGTGTGATCACACTTAGTTCGACCGTTCTTGATCGCTAGAGAAAAGGATTCGAACGTAGACCCTCCCCTGTACAGACTAAATAGCTTATGCCCTCAATAAACCACCCATACTGGTAAAACTTAATACCCTTACAATTGTGTACGTTTTAAACTAACTATAGAAGTGTGCATACCAAATGGGGCCAGAATTAGGTCAGGGCTGTGTGACCAGTATATGGAGTGTGTTTGACCCAGATCAATGAATGCTTAGGCGGACTTTGGGAAGTCTAGGGAATGCAGGTACTGACAGTAAATATTGGTGTCTGTGTGCAGAGGGAGGGGGAGAGAGAGAGAGTGATATATGTGGTAGAACACTCTATCTATCTCCACTGTATATCTGACTTGCCTTCTCTTGCACTAAACAGACAAATGAATATAGGAGACTTATGTCTCTTGGTCTGGAGAGGCAGTCTGAGGAATGAAGCAGGAGAGCAGGGAGGAGTAAGCAGATGGAGGTTGATGACTGATGCTTGTCTGTATTTCCTGTCAAGATGTTACCCTCTTGGTGATGACTAATTTTGAGTTATTTTCTTGACAGGATGTATCTTTTGTGAGGAGCTGGCAGAAGTTTCACAGTCCAACCAACACCCAACAACCCATCAACCATCAAACCACCAGAAACAAACTGTTACCCACCAGCTAACACCTGTGAAGGTTCCTGACATCTCCAGCATGTGGGAGATGGTACCTCAAACAGCCTACCAGTGCTAGAGCTTAGGGTGGCTCACAAACAATTTGTGTTCTACTTGGTGATAGAGACTTGCTAAGTACCAGTGCAGTATTGTGTCCTTTATGGTGAGGTACTCTCTGACTATTTGATTCAGTGGAGCAGAATTCCCAGAGTCAAAGACAGTCGAATCATCCGGAGCTGGTGGAGGCATCATAGACAGAAAGGATAGAAGCTAAGACTGATGCTTCTTCATGTGCTGTTTTTTTTCCTCACAGCTCCTTTGTTTCCAATGATGACATATAGTCACCTCCAGGACCGGCTGTCTGTATAGTTTCCTTGGGATCTAGACATTAGTGCTGAGATTCTTTCACTGATAGCTGGAATTCACTTCAATTGTTTTTGTACAGATATTATACTAAATACATGCATTCATTTTCATGGCTGACTTAGGTTTCTCTATGTCACCTTCTTAAGTGTTTAGCAGTTGTATGTGTATGTATCTTCATTATCTGTGTTAACATGGTTATGATAATGAACTATCATAACCTGGGGGCTTTCTTTAGTAAGTAGTGGGGGTGTCCAGCCAAGTGTGCCTAGAAATATTGTATTTATATACTGATATATTTTGTAGTGCCAATACTTGAGTTGCCCTACTCCAGAGATAAGTTGAGCGTATATTGGCCACGGGGAATCCCTTAGACCAATACGAGCCAAACGACTCAACATAATTATCTCTGAGTGCTGTTGGTTCTGAAGGAGAAATCCTTACATTAGGCACGCGACAGGAGTGATATGTGACAATTTCTAATTATAGCCACGTTAGTATTTACCATTCGCCGGCGAGTTACGTGCATCTCTAATACTAATACATAGAGTAGGTCGTGGTACAGTAAACAAGACTATCTCTATATTTGCCACAATAACCATATTAAACACGATTTCTAATTTCTGTTTTTTTTTCAAACAACCTTCGATTGGGGTGAGGGGGGGGGGGGGCAATCAAGGACTATCTCGACGTCGGGGGAGACAGTGACTGCGACATTAACTTCATTAACTGTGTTATACACGTGCGATTTCTATTTCATTAATATATCTGGAGTATCTGTCTACGAGAAAACAATTGCCTGCGGTTTTGAATTGTGTTTTAATCGCGACACAGTGGTAGGGACACATATGTCTAATAGTTGTGTTCTCTTTTTGTTGTTCCGATTAAGTGGCTGCTTGGTCGTATGGTTAGAACACTGGGTTCAAGTGCGGTAGACCTGGGTTCGAATCCGCAGTAGTAATTTTTTTTTTACCCCGGACTAAAATAATATCCTCATCTGCTCTGTCGTGGTGACAGCACTAGCCATGTTGCCTTAATAAAAAAAAAAAAAAAAACCAGTAAATGGGTAAACCATTTGATAATTAAATTTGACCATTTCGCATACTTATGATTGCATTGTTAAACTTTCCGATTGCATGGTTACGCTGAAATTTTATAGATTTTCATTTATTTTCATTTAGATTTAGTTATTTCATCTGTGTTGGAATTTTAAGCTGTGCTGTTTACAATGGCGTTCATTTCCTAATTATGGTGTTTTTTTCCTGTGTTCATTTGCTTTTCAAGTGTTTTTTTTTTCTCCCAACTACTTCAATGAGGGAAAGAGTTGTCGGTGAATTGGGGGAGGGGGGGGGGGCAAACTATTTACTGAGAGAGCTTTAAGTCACAGTAACTGCTTTACCCACTTAAAGTAGCAGCAGTAGTAATAGTTGTGGTTGGGCTGTTACACCATAGTGCTCTCATGTGAAGACCGCCGGTAAGGTTATGGCGTTCTTCTGTCGGCAAGTGAAATTATACATCCTAACCTGACCAGTCTGTGGCGACAGCACTAGCCATGCGGAACCAAATCTTCTGGCTCACGACTCTCTGTCTACTCCGATGGTAACACAGATAGCAGTGACATTATTTTAGTAGTTGTACTGGTACTTGAAGGATGATGTGGTAAATATTACACTAGCCCCATTCACTACCTATTACAATTCCTGCTCCTTATTTTAGTCCAGATGGACAGGGATGTTAATGTCAGTTACAGCAACAACAAAATATCGCCAGTTAGTAATTTTCAAATCCTTCGAAGAGGGAGAAAGCAGTAGTCGGTGGAAGAGGGGAGGGGAGGGGGGTAATTACTTAAATTTAAGAGAACTTAAAGAGCTTTACACGTGATTTTCAAGTTCTCATTACCTAATTTGTTTATATTTTACTAACGCTACCTCCGCTTTTCTATTTTTTACGACTTACTTTGTTATTTACAAGTACAGTTGTAGCTTTACTTCCGTCTCCTATAAAAATACAAACAGCTTTATCATGTGATAACCAAATAACCACTTTTGTAACCAGTTTTATTAGCTGTGGTTTAGCTGTTGCTCTGTACATCGCTAGCGTGAAGCGAAGACACATTTCTATGTTCTCTATTTTCCATGTAGTCAAATTACGTCACAGCAACGCGTGGCCGGGTACAGCTAGTATATATATATATATATATATATATATATATATATATATATATATATATATATATATATATATATATATATATATATATCTTTAGTAAAACTTTCTTTTTAATTATGCTCTTTTTATTGTATTTGACTTCTAGGTTTCATTTTTTTCAGATACGACTTACTCTTCTGTGTATCCACATCTCCAGGGACTCTATGGTATTTTCTTATTCCTTGTTCATTGTTCAGTCTCTACTCTATAAAGTCTTGTTCATTGTTCAGTCTCTACTCTATAAAGTAAAGTTGAGTATTCATAACATTTGACGATTCTCACTTTAATTTGCTGTTTACCTTTTTGTGGCTGGTCGAATGGTTAAGAACGTTAGGCTCTCTTCCGTGGAAGACGCAGGTTTACATCTTTAATAAGTGCACGCTTTTTTTTTTTTTTAAATTCGGGACAAACACAAACTCCTAACATGCCTAGTCCGTGATGAAAGCGCCAGCCATACAGCCTCAAACTCTCAGGCCAAAGGCTTCCCCGTCTACGCAAAAGTGATAACAGCGGGCGGTAATCTGCACTTTATCTTGATTTTTGCAATCTATAACAATACTTCTGCTGGCTGCGTGGATTGTATCATGGTATGGGACGTCCATGGTCGGTCCAGCCTAAAATGGGTACTATGATGTATGTCCTGGGGAAGTAAATACGACCGGCGTAATGCTGACCACATTACCCACCTAATGCCGATTGGTCTGTAAAAATATGGGTGCTCTTCGCAAATACGTGATGCGCCTAAAGGCGTGAAAAGGAATCTTTACTTACTTTACTATAACACTACTCTTTTAAACAAAGAGAGAGACATGTGAGCAGGCAGACAGGCATACATATAAATAATGTGCAGGCAGACAGGCATACATATAAATAATGTGCATGCGGACAGGCATACATATAAATAATGTGCAGGCAGACAGGCATACATATAAATAATGTGCATGCGGACAGTTACTGTTAGTTAATCGACAGATTATCCTCACTGCACATCGGACAACTCCTTAATTGCTCGGATCCCATCTTCAGAGTATTCATCAACGTTTGGAGACTGATAACACAAGTTCTGTGTTGGTTTACTATTCTTCTTTGGCTACCTGTATAGTGTTTGATGTTTGACAACCCCATTTTTGAGCTGAACATCATGTTTTCTTTTTATCGTTGCCGATTGAACGTCGTCTGCAGAATCATCTTCTCGCCCTCTCACATTGAGAGCATTGAGAGTGCATACAGACAATTACCAATGATTTTTTGAATTATCTGTCAATTAGATTACTAAAAGGACCTATTGATTGTTTTCAACACCACTTACCTCCCAGAATTCAATAGGTTCCTCAAATTCTGGCGTGACGGATCTTTTTTTCCTGTTGACATTACAGATGGTGATTGCAGGAAATGTGGCTTTTGTTTCGTGTTTTATCTTGACTAAAGTTGTCACAGGATAGGTGTAGAAGTCGCTGACTAGATCCACTAACTGAAAAATGGCGATGGTCAAAACACTCACTACCATCACTAACCAAACAACTCGCTTGCAAGGATTTCGACTGGCAAAGACTCGCCCAAGACCATGCATGGTCGTATTCTCACTAAACTTCTTGTAGAGCTCCATCACAGAAGGACTCTGTGATGATGACTTAATGTCTACCATCTTCGTAAGATCTTCAGTAGGCAAGTCTGTAGCGAGAACCATATTGGCTAGTATTGTTGATGTACCAACTTTAAGAGAGATACCATTGTGGCTAAACTAAAAGCTATTCGTAAAGTGTTTACTCAGCTAAACTGAATAATTATCGTTACTGCAATACTTTGTTGTTTTTATTGCTATAACTTACAGTAACCTAGGAAGAAAAAAAAAGTACATGAAGTACATATTAGCTTTGTTGTCGTTCTGTGGCTTAGGATTTGCGAAAACTTTGTGATTTCAAAGTGCCTGGTTCGATTCTTGCTGCGGGCGATTTGATAGCAGACCGCTTTGGGTTGGTTTCGTTAGTGATAATGAGAGCCGACCGTTGAAAAGGCAGGGACAAACTACTGACTGTAAATTTTGCTTAGTGAAATCATAACAGCTAAACAAAAGTTGATGGGTTTGGTTCTGCAGCGTCCTGTAAAGGATACGCAATTATTATTAGTATTTTAAATATGTCAGCTTTACAAAACCAATGGCAATAAACAAAGAATGTTGAAGCAGTAACCTTCATCAGCAGAACATTCAAAAGGAACCAAAGACACAACAAAAAATAAACTGAGTCGTTAAAGACTACATTATATTTTTAAAAAAAAATGAAAGGATGTAAGTTGATTACTTTTTAATACGACGATTAAAAGCTATTTACAGAATCAAAGGCAGAGCTTCGGCTATAAGAGACTAGTGCGGGTCATAAAAAACTGGGAACCACGACTTCAAAACAAACACACTTAGCTGATTCAGTTATGTCAACATGTACAGCTAATTCTCTGAGTGAAATACACAGTGAAAACAATTGTGTGCAAATATTCGTACCAGATATATGTTCAAACACCTTTCACTGCAGCCTGGGCAGTCGATTAGACTAGGCGATTTTTATACCCGAACACGTAATGAATATTAATGAGAGTTGAAATACCAGTGTCCGTCCTCTGCTGCCCTAGTCTGCGATTCCCGGCGCTGTCCTTGGACTAGAAACGGTGGGGATGTGAATTTTTGACTAAACATACCGTAGATAGGATAATATATTGTGGTTTGCGCAACAAACAAAAAAGAAGAAAATATTTTTGACCACACAAACACACATACACATACATACATGGAGAGAGAGAGAGAGAGAGAGAGAGAGAGAGAGAGAGAGAGAGAGAGAGAGAGAGAGAGAGAGTGAGAGAGAGAGAGAGAATATATATGGTGGACGACCTACCTGCAGAAAAGAGTATATGACAGACAGTACACATATAGAGAAGAGGATATGCGCGATGGACAGAGATAAAGAAGGACGTATACAGTAGACCACACACTACAGATGGGCGTATATAGTGGATCGCTCACATATATAGGTGTGTAAATATTCAGCTATATACGTATAGAAAGTAATATATAGCGAACTACATACATATACAAATTAGAATATGGTAAACTACATAATACAGAGAAGAGTATATAGTGTACTATTTACATATTGAAAGCAACATACTGTGGACTTCATATGTAGACAGGAGAGTATATAGTGGACTACATATATAGAGACAATAATGAAGACCGACTTCATTCACAGAGAGGGGAGTATATAGTGGGTTTCATGCACCAAACATATAAAGGAGAGAGAGTATACGGTGAAGTGCATACTTATGGAGGAGAATATATTGTGGGTTACATACACCATACATATAGGGGAGATTATGTGGTGGACTTCATACATATGGGGGAGAGTATATTGTTGGTTATATACATAAATAGCTTAGATTATAGATTACCTACATACAGAGAAAAGTATTCAGTGAATTACATATATATTGACTCTTTTAAAAATCAAACTGGAGAGAAAAGTCGATGAAATTAGATAAAGAGGTACACAACGATACAAGTGGGAGGATGTCACATATCACTCTTGTCACGTGCCTGATTTAAGGATTTCTCCTTAAGGACCAACAGCACTCAGAAATAATTATGTCGAGTCGTTGGCTCGAATTGGTCTAAAGGATGCCCCGTGGCCAATATACGCTCAACTTATTTCTGGAGTAGGGCAACTCAAATTTTGGCACTACAAAATATAAAATATTCCGAGGCACACTTGGCTGGACGCCCCCACTACTATAAAAAAGATAGCCCTCCAGGTTATGATAGTTTACTATCATAACCATGTTAACACAGATAACACTTATTACTCACACAAACATCAAAGCTAGACAGTAAGAATGGTGAAATAGGGACACCCAAGTCAGCCATGAAAATGTGTGCATGTAATTAGTACAATATATACATAAAATAGTGAATAGGTACACCAGATTTCAGTGGATGGATCCTGGGAAACAATGACTCGACCCAGATATTGAAGCAGCTAGATTGCCTTGAGATGAACATGAGGTCATCACTGGAACTATGAGGAGCTGTGGGAAAAGAGCATAATGATAATTCATAGATCACTTAACCCAGTTCGTAGATCGATGCTCCCCTCAGTCCATGGTGATTCGGATGTAGTTGACTCAGGTATCTGTCTCTAGTTGATCTGGTATCAGGTGATTACCTCACCATCGAGGACACCGGAACTGCACAAGGACTCAACAAGTCTCTCTCACAGGTCAGGTCACAAAACTACCTCAGAGCTCAACCAAGCTCTAGCAGACTGGTTCACTAGGTTGAGGATACAAATGTCTGCAAATGTCCACTCGTCTTGGAGCTCACAAACACGCTCTTGTCATGTCGAGGTTGTGGCGAAAAGGGCAGGACATGGTTATGCTTGGTGCATATAATGGTATAGGTTGGTGGTTGTTGGCTGGACTGTGATTCGTCTGCCTGATCTCTACTGAGGTCTCATCCCAAGCTTAGGAAATCTTCCAAGTTAGAACTGGAACTATGAATGCGCCAAATTCTACCAAGATTGGATATACGTCTTGACACTTTGGGATCAGGCGTAAGAATGGCGTTTTTCAAAATCAAACGCGTCACCAGGAAAGAAGTTCCTTGAATTCATGAACAAGTAGTAAACCGGTTTCCAGGAATTTTCAAATAAAACACCAGAATTACCCAATCTACAGTTGCAAGTTTGAAAATGAAGATATATCAAAGCAACTAGAGGGTCCAGAAATTACTATTTTACCAGATAAAGGTATAGATCAATATAAGGAACTATATACCTTTCCGGACGGGTCTAAGTTTGATATTTTGCTGAGCGCGAGGAATATCAAGTCCCTACTCGTCCGCTGTGTATGGTGGCTGCTCATTCCATGAGAGGGCAACATCAAGGGGTGGGCATACAGCAGTCTGAGAGAGTATACAACCAAAACGTGGATACAACCAAAACGTGGATACAACCAAAACGAAAGATAAAGTGCGTTTGGAGATCACTTGCAGCCAGTCTTAACTATTGAGACGGCAACTGATCGACATATGGATTGATAAGAGCATACAGTGGACTAAATTCATAGTGAGGAAAGTATACGGTGGACTAAATTCATAGTGAGGAAAGTATACAGTGGACTAAATTCATAGAGAGGAAAGTATACGGTGGACTACATTCAGAGAGAGAAAAGTATATGGTGGACTAAATTCATAGATAGGAAAGTATAAGGTGGACTACATTCAGAGAGAGGAAAGTATATGGTGGACTAAATTCATAATGAGGAAAGTATACGGTGGACTAAATTCATAGAGAGGAAAGTATACGGTGGACTACATTCAGAGAAAGGAAAGTATACGGTGGACTACATTCAGAGAGAGGAAAGTATACGGTAGACTAAATTCGTAGAGAGGAAAATATACGGTGGAATTCATTCAGAGAGAGGAAAGTATACGGTGGACTACATTCCCAGCAAAGAAAGTATATGGAGGACATCTTGTTCTTCTTCAACATACTTTAAGGCCTACTGATGCAGTCACAACCCGACTACGTTCATCTCTGTGACTGGCTCTCTTTTTAGTTGGTGATTGCAAATGTTTTAGGTCTGTCCGGAAATTATATCTCCACCGTTTTCTAGTAGTACCTAGTGGTCTGCGGCTATTGAACTACCTTGTCTGCACAGTTGTTACCTCTCTCTCGTCTGCAATTCTCTCCATATGCCCTAAACATTTAGGTCTGTCAACCCTCATGAAGCAAGTAATCTATGGTGATTTAAGCAAATTTTGAATTTCGCTGCTGTTTCTCACTCTGTACTCCCCATTGCTTGCATCTTTGATAGTTCCACAGATTCGTACGACTGTTTTCAGAAATATATAATAAACCTCGATGTTTTATAGCTGTGCTTCAAGTTTCAGAGCCAGATAAAAAAAAAAAAAAAACCGTCTTCTAAGCGTTTTATATATATTCAAAAAATTCAAATGTCGTTGTAACAAGCACTTCAGTCGGTTTTTTTTCACATGCTTGCTCTGTTTCTTTCTTTGGCCTGCCCTGCCCTCCTTACTTCTGCTGTTGATGTTTCCAATCCACCGTGATATGGCCAAAATAGTTCAGCTTTCGAGACAAGATGTTGTTTATTAGCTAATTTTCCTTTATGTTCAGAGCTTTTAGAATGTCAGCATTTTTTTTTTTTTTTTGGGTGTGTCAATGGTATTTAGAGAATTCTTCGACAGTATTTCAGCTCAAAAGCTCCTCTTTTCCCCCATAACTCTTTCAGGCCCATGAATTTTGACAGATTTGGCCCACATTAATTTCCCTTTACAAAAATGGCAGCGGGGTGGTGTATAAGAAAGGCAATAGAAAGTGTAATATATTTGGAGAAAGTGCCTGAATCACATCCAAGTGGTGCTACAAGTAAAATGCATGCTTTCCTAATTGTAACTTTGAATTTCGTGCAGGTGCTATAGACTTTGGGAGTCGTCGTGGCAGAGCGGCTAGACGCTCGCCGCGGATCGGAAGTTCGTAGGTTCGCTTCCTGGCGGAGCCGGACTTTTCTTCAAATATGACCTTGGCTCCCAGGTCGACCCAGCCTTGTGTGGGTACCGCGTGCAGTCCCGGGAAGTAGAGGCGGCCGGCGTGATGCTGACCACATCACTCATCTTGTGCCGTTGGTCTATAAAAATATAGGTCTAGCCCTATATGCCCTATAGGCCTAAAGGCGTGGAAAAGGGTCCTTTACTTTTTGTTTTGTGTTATAGACTTTGATCTGTTTAATTTTTTGCAATTTGCAATACTATGCCCATGCAATCTTCTTTTTATTTGTGTCAAGCGGTCTCGATTGCTGTTTATTATGGAGCCTAGATAATTAACGTTTGTGACAATTTAAATATTCTTTTTTTCAAAGAGATTTTTTAGCAGAGGGGGAAAGAAACATTGTTACATGAAAACCTACGACTGATAACTTGTGTCTAGAATGTCAAGAAAACATTGTTACATGAAAACCTACGACTGATAACTTGTGTCTAGAATGTCAAGAAAACATTGTTACATGAAAACCTACGACTGATAACTTGTGTCTAGAATGTCAAGAAAACATTGTTACATGAAAACCTACGACTGATAACTTGTGTCTAGAATGTCAAGAAAACATTGTTACATGAAAACCTACGACTGATAACTTGTGTCTAGAATGTCAAGAAAACATTGTTACATGAAAACCTACGACTGATAACTTGTGTCTAGAATGTCAAGAAAACATTGTTACATGAAAACCTACGACTGATAACTTGTGTCTAGAATGTCAAGAAAACATTGTTACATGAAAACCTACGACTGATAACTTGTGTCTAGAATGTCAAGAAAACATTGTTACATGAAAACCTACGACTGATAACTTGTGTCTAGAATGTCAAGAAAACATTGTTACATGAAAACCTACGACTGATAACTTGTGTCTAGAATGTCAAGAAAACATTGTTACATGAAAACCTACGACTGATAACTTGTGTCTAGAATGTCAAGAAAACATTGTTACATGAAAACCTACGACTGATAACTTGTGTCTAGAATGTCAAGAAAACATTGTTACATGAAAACCTACGACTGATAACTTGTGTCTAGAATGTCAAGAAAACATTGTTACATGAAAACCTACGACTGATAACTTGTGTCTAGAATGTCAAGAAAACATTGTTACATGAAAACCTACGACTGATAACTTGTGTCTAGAATGTCAAGAAAACATTGTTACATGAAAACCTACGACTGATAACTTGTGTCTAGAATGTCAAGAAAACATTGTTACATGAAAACCTACGACTGATAACTTGTGTCTAGAATGTCAAGAAAACATTGTTACATGAAAACCTACGACTGATAACTTGTGTCTAGAATGTCAAGAAAACATTGTTACATGAAAACCTACGACTGATAACTTGTGTCTAGAATGTTAAGATAACATTGCGAAACAAATCATAAAAACATTAAATTGTTTCTCCATGTGATTAAAAAACTAGAACACTGTGCATATTTTAGAATTAATTTATTAAAAGAGAACTTGTAAATAACAGTGCAGAAACACTGGAAGTAACGAAATAATTAACGAACAATTAAAAAAAAACAAATATTCTTTAATTAATTAATGAGAAAGTGATAACAATAAATATGATTACTTTAAAAGAGTACTACTTATTTGCTTATTAAAATGTCGAATGAAGAAAAGGAGATTAATCTTTTCTAACTAAATAACAACAATATTTGGGATACTGACATTATAATGATAATATGAAGAAAACTAATGACTGGTAATAATCCGTAAAAGCACATCATGAAGTCACGTGGACACACCATGAAGTCACGTGGACAGACCATGAAGTCACGTGGACACACCATGAAGTCACGTGGACACACCATTAATTTCACGCACTCCTTGTTTACAGAAAAGTCAGATGGATATGATACACTACAAGAAATTTTTTTTGTTTTTGCTGTTGTCTGTACGGAAAAGTGCACTATAAATAACTGCGTGGTATAAAGAAAATGGCCAATAAACAGCATCCTGTCCCAAAAGTTGAAGTATTTTGGCCACATCAAGCGTCATGGTGGCTTGGAAAAAACGGTAATGGAAGGTGCAGTTTGGGGAAGGCGAGGCATGGGTCCACCACGGCGAAGATGGATACAGGACATCGAAGATGCATTGGCATTGAAAGCACATGGGGCTGGAGAGCTGGCTAGGAAAAGGGTTTACTTTCAGGCACGCCATGAAGAGAGCGACGTTCTGTAAAGGACTTGCTGATTGATGACGACTATAAAAAATTAATGTTTTCTTTTTAAATTTTTATTTCCACAAATTACCTCTTTATGAGCAATCTATACTTTATAGTTGTGTAGTTGATCACTTGACATATTCATTACCTCATGATGGAATTTTATTCAAATATAAAAATAGAAAAAAAAAAAATGTAGATACGTAAAACCCATTCACCCTTACAACAGAAAACTACTAAACTAACACAACAGTCTTGAAATATAAATAAACAGAGGGGGGAATTGGGGGTGCCGATTTGACCATGTATCTTAGTGCACTTGTATTCATGGCGAGGCGCAGACGCCGTCTGGGGGTGACAGGTTCAATTCCCGGCACGGTAACTATAGCTTTCGATTTTTATGTTGTCTAGTGTGTTCTTCTATCTTTCTACTTCTTTCTATCAGTGCCGTTCACAATACTTTCTGTTACTTGAAATATAAACAGACTTTGAAAAAGAAAGATTTTTTTTGGGGTGAATTAAACATAGATATGACAATATATAATCTGAAGGTTCGAAAGATTGCGTTTTTAAATAGGAAAAGTAAGAACAAATTAAATATTTGTGCATGACAGAGTGACAAAATATAAGAGGTATTAATGTTTATATGGTGTACAATAACATGATTATGTGCTATTATAGAGAGCATGCATATAACGGAAGAAGAAAGATGTATCAGAACTTTAACAATATACATCATTTGTGGCAAAAAAAATTAAATTGAAAGAAAATGAAAATTATGAAAGAATAGATTTTTGCATGATTATGATATATATATATATATATATATATATATATATATATATATATATATATATATATATTTTACGGCTGTACCGAAAATTCGCTTCGTATTTGCTTCGGGGCCGAATAGTGGACGGAACGACTATTCGGTATTCAGCCGAATAGTTGCGGTCGGACTGAATTCGAATAGTGGTTACCTTACACTCATTTCTGCATACACTACCATGGACTGAAATAATTCTCTTATTAACACAATAGTTGCCTAAGTTTGTAGTAGCGGGAAAATTGCAACCCGGTTGCGTGGTACAGCAGCTGGCAAGGTCTTGCCTGCTGACTCGACCGAGGCATTACAGCAAAGGTTCTCAAACTATATATATATATATATATATATATATATATATATATATATATATATATATATATATATATATATATATATATATATATATATATATATATATATATATATATATATATATACATATACTTATATAAATATGTAGTCATATGTGCTGCACCAGCAAGCAAGCGGGTGGCAGGTAATGAGTGTATGTATGTGTGTGTGTGTGTGTGTGTGTGTGTGTGTTAACTACTGCGCGTTTGAGTATGCGTGCTGAATTTTAGTAATACAGTGAGATAGTATTTTGGCTACAGGACACCAGTGGCACACATATATCTTCGTGTATGGAGTCGGCAGTCCAAACCCAAGTTCAAGGTGTCTCCTTCGTGCCAAAGAACTGCATGGCTGTTGGGTGAACAGTCGTTAACGAAGGCAGTCAGGTCGTTGTTGGGGCGACGCTTGCTGGTAGATGTAATGTCCTAAATCCCTTCCCCAGCTAATAGTAGGGTACTGCTGGGGGGACAGTTTATTAACCCTCACATAATGATTCAGGTCCAAATGAACACTAGGCACTGCCACTGTTTTGGGCGGGATTTTTTTTTTTTTTTTTGCTTCTGTGGCCGTTGCTTTTTTGCTCCATTTGTAGACTGGAAGTATATAGTTTCGTTACCCAGCTTTGAGTTGAGTGCATGGCGTGACACTGTGAGCTGCGGATTTCATTTCGAATGTTTTTCGACTGACCAACATGGTGGTGTGATTTGTAGATTCAGAAAATGGCGTGAAGCCGGTTGTCGCAATATTGGTGGTGCCATTATTTGATTAAAATTAATCGCGTGTGCAACTGCTGATCTTTTAGTGACTTCTGCTACCATCAATGATGAACTGCATTTCTAACGTCAAACTGTTTGTGTTAGCACTTCGGATGGCTACCATATGCTTTTAATGCGAGTGTATGCTAGATTTGCTGAGACAGCAGTTTGTCAGTCTTTCCACAAGGGACTGTGATAAACATTCTGTGTGTTTTTTGTTGGCACAGGTACGGAGCAAAGATGGGGTGACCCGTTTGCTATGAAGCTGAAATGAAAATTACCAGATTACCAGATATATATATATATATATATATATATAAACGACAGCTGGTTGTGTGACTGATTGATTTATCGATTGACTGATTGGTTGATGCAAACTCCCTTATCTTGTAGCCTTCCTATTACTAAGACAGAATTCATTATCTTACCTCTTGACGAACACCAAAAATTTGTTAAATTGTTCCTGGTGCAATCCACTGTGCGAAGTCACTTCTCTCAAGACTTCTTCGTCTCCTTTTTTTTTAAAGTCTGTCTATGGTGTTCTAACAATTCTTCATCAAAACCTCATCCTTCTAGTTTCCATTTAATTTATGACTCATTTTCTAGATCGTCCAATATGCATTTCTCTAAATTAGTATTGACTCTATATAACTGTTACGAACTCACATGCTCATATAAATTATGAAATATTTATTGCAAGAAATTATTTTCAGTTATGCTGAAGGCTGATTCTGCATGCGTTATTCTACATTTACTTCATTAGTCGGCTTTCCGATAATAAGCAGCTATAAACGTTATGGTAAATTGTTGTCATCCGTGCTTATCTGCTCAGACGCCCATTTACTTCTTCTTCCGTCTGCGTGTGCAAAAAACCACAGTATCAATCAGCACCTCGACTATTTCCATAGCAGTTAACAAGGAGAACCCCAACCAAAGCCCCAGAAGCCCACTAACAGTTCCCAGCAACAAGTTCCAGTCGTACTTGGCCTGTGTGGTAAACTCCTTGAACTCTAAAGTATCCAAGAAAACATCAATCTTCAAAAAGTTGGAGCGGATAAACCGTTCGAAAGAAATATAGTCTGTGAAAGTCATGTTTCCAACGACTGAGCTGTTAGTAATCGTTTCGACAGAGTCAGAACTCAGGTCAGATGGCCATAAACCAGCTGAAACAACCGTATCAAATGTGGTACGATCGCATACAGGAGGACAAAGTTCATCGCAATCTAGTTCACTTTTCAGGAAGAGATTTTCGACCTGACTTTCACATAGAAGTTCTGCAGGCGTACTGCATATTGGCAGACTGTGGTTTGATTCTGAGGTTGTCCTATCCACATTCAAAATTTTATAATAATCACAGGGCAGATCTACATTACAACATTTACACTTTTCATGCACTGCCAGTTGAAAGCAGGATTTCATGCACGCATTTTGCATGTACCTCTTATTTGCGAACAGGCTACGCAGTGAACTGCTTTGTACGTCTGCACTGATACAGTTGCTGTAAGGTGAAGGCAATCGCTGTGTTAACTCCTGCAAGCAACAAGAGATAGAAATGATTCACTAGATTAACTCATTACTTAACATAACCCACTTATTCTTCTAAATGTTACACCATTGAAGTCCAAATTACCAGAAGCTTAGTCTACTTTTTCTTTTTTATTAACCGGCTGTATGCTCCAGCGGAAAGTCCTCGTTGCTAGTCCATTTCTCTACTTTATCCCTGTCCTAGAACTTGAGTGCAGTATGTACATCTGATTTTACTGTCTTATTTGTACACAGTTGGTTGTTCCTTGGCGCTCGGGCAGATACAGTCCGACTTCGAAGGAAGTCCCCAATTAGTCAACTTCTACGACGTGCTTGTTGGGAAGGCGGTAGGTATATTCTTGTTTTTCCACAATGGAGTCCTGAAACCCAAATGGGGAGAGAAACTAATTAAACCAAGCATAATTTTCTCCACGAATTCTACCCTCCTCCCCCCCCCCCTACCCGCCCACCCCCTCTCACCCCCACCTCCCCCTCCCCGGTCATCTTTTGTGTTAGGCATCGTAAGAAGCAGATGGACAATTACATCCTCTAACGAACGTAAAAGTGTGACAACGGAGATTAAATGCCTTAGAAGAGCTGCAGGAGTTTCAAGAACAAACAGAATACGAAATCGTGAAATCAGGCAAATGCTAGGAATAAAATAGGTCTTACAGGTCATCAAAAAACAACAAATAAAGTGGTCTAGACATCTAACAAGAATGCCCTGGCTCTATCTACCACAGCGAGCCACACTGAAGCGTTGCCACAGCGAGGGGAAGACCTCGGAAAAGATGGAGTGATGGCATAAAGAACACCCTTACTGAAATGAACATCAATCTTATTAGTGCTCGTACATCTTCCCCCGACCTTTCGCTGAGGTACAAGGAGGAAGAGAAGAAGAAGCAGCAGCAAATGTGCGCTTGTTTCAAATATCTTAAGACAACTTAGTGTTTCAAACTTCACGAGCAAAACAATGTGTTTGATTCAAAAATAATATATATTCTATAGACCATTGGTACTCTGCGGTTGATGTTGTCAACACCACGCCGGCCACTTGTATTTTCCAGGACTTGGCCTGGTACCTATTTAAGGCTGGGCCAACCTAGGAGCCAAGTTCATGTTTAAAAAAAAAATATAGCAAGTCTTTTGCAGATTGTTTCCTCATAACTGAGCTCAAAAAGCCACTGGGTCCTCCTCCAACTGACCCAGCTCGTGAACTTTCACGCCGTTTTTTTTAAATTTGTTTATTCTACAACCGACATCACAGCACTCGGGCATTTCCATAAGCGCTCCGTCTCTGTGTTCAGCAGCCAGCGAAGAGTTCCGATACTAATAGTGCCAGTGGCATTCTGATTAAACGTCCGTCTTGCCTTTCCTCTGAGCCTCGAGCATCTGCCGGAACCTCTCGTCACTCCCCCCTGCATCAATCTTACGAGACTGTGGAGATCCATCTGCTCCTCCGAACTGTACAAGGCTCTTAACACGTCTGCCTTATCATGTATCACTATTCCATCAAGCTGTGTAGAGCCAGCCAGTCTATCCGCCTGCTCATTTCCAAACACTCCGGCGTTCCCTGGTGAAAAAATCCAGACAATACTCCTCATCGTGTCCTCCGCAGCGAGGCATGCCACTCTGCACGAAGCATGCTTGTCCTGATCTTCCTCAGCATGCTTTCTGAGTCAGTTACAATCACGATGTGTGTGTGTGTGTGTGTGTCGTGTTCTCTAGCCAGCGGAAAGCTGCAGTGACCGCCTCCACCTCCATTGTTAAGCTGGATGTTGTGGTATCATATGCTAGGTTCTCCTGCACCAAACGTCGACCATTAACTTTTGTTAAGAACCCTAAGCACTTCTTATGCCTCTTGACACTGAACTGTCTGTGTAAATGATCAAATCCTCTACGCGAGCATTATCTTGAATTAATTGCTGAATTTCCATCTCAGTGGCACCTGATGGGCAGTCTCTGCATGCCGACTCAGTTTGATTATGACCTTACACAAGTCTGACTGCTCAGGTGGCACTTTGACCCACTCGTCTCCTCGCCTAATGTTCTCAAGGATGCCAACCTGTCTGATTGTGTCTTCTGCCTGAGCCATCCATGACTTCCCTCTTATCAGCCGCTGACCATTCAATGCACCCAGAGCTTCATGCAGACGGTGGTTTGTGTCTGCAGCTACCCTGAGATATGACTTCGCCTGCAGCACCTTGTGCCAACCTGCAACAGTCATGCCAAGAGCATCCTGGACACCTCGGTCCACATTTGTGCTGGTCTCCCCCTGCCTCGTCCTCAATAAATCATACCATGCACTATGGTTTTCTGCAAACTCATTTGGTGGGTAATATGACTGAAATATTTCAATTTACGAGACACGATTATGACGATGCGTTTACATAAATAAACCGAAGGGAAACCTTGAAGCCGTATAAACATTATATATTTAATATACAGGCAATGTACTGACGGGCACTCATAGAAAGAAGTAGAAAGATAAAAGCATACAATTGACGACATAAAAATCGGAAGCAGTAGTTACCGTGCCGGGAATCGAACCTATCACCTCTAAATGGCATGTACGCCTCGCTTATTAAACAAATGTCCTAAGCACAAGACCAGTTAAACACCTATAAGAAAAGGTGTCTCATTGGCCATGTCAATAATGAGCCATTTGCACCTTAAACTATTTTTATTTCATCTTCTAAATGTTTCGTCTTCTTTCGCATTTTCTGGATGTAGTTAATTACTTTACTCCAGAAACGGCAGCAAAGAACGATCATTAGCACCCATCCATCCAAATAATGAAAAACAAAATACAAAATCGACCACGTTAAACCGACTACGAACAGTATTGGTTATAACCGTGGTCTGGTTTCTTTTTGCCAGGGTTGTTGGTGAGGGGAGAGAAGAGGGGGGGGGGCGTTGGGGGGGGGGGGGGGAACTTGTATGCACTATACACACCCACACAAGTTGTTGGTGAGGGGAGAGAAGAGGGGGGTGGGGGTTGGGGGGGGGGACTTGTATGCACTATACACACCCACACAAGTTGTTGGTGAGGGGAGAGAAGAGGGGGAGGGTGGGCGTTGGGGGGTTGGGGGGGGGGGACTTTATACACTATACACACCCACACAAGTTGTTGGTGAGGGGAGAGAAGAGGGGGGTGGGGGGTTGGGGGGGGACTTGTATGCACTATACACACCCACACAAGTTGTTGGTGAGGGGAGAGAAGAGGGGGGGGGGTGGGGGTTGGGGGGTTGGGGGGGGGGACTTTATACACTATACACACCCACACAAGTTGTTGGTGAGGGGAGAGAAGGGTGGGGGGGGGGGACTTGTATGCACTATACACACACCCACACAAGTTGTTGGTGAGGGGAGAGAAGGGTGGGGGAGGGCTCGTATGCACTATACACACCCACACAAGTTGTTGGTGAGGGGAGAAAAGGGTGGGGGGAGGGCTCGTATGCACTATACACACCCACACAAGTTGTTGGTGAGGGGAGAGGAGGGGGTGGGGGCAGGGGACGTATGCACTATACACACCCACACACATATATAGACACACACATAACATCATTACCAATTCCTAATTATAAAACTCAACCACTTTCAAAATGCTGCTAGCTAGCCGAAGCTGCCAACAGTCTCCGGCTATATTTGTAGTCTTGTTTATTTGCGCCACTTTATTGGCTACAGTCCATTACCTACCTGCTTCACCCCAATGCTGGTGATGACACCCGGATGTGCTAGAATCCCGCCATCTTCGGGAAAGGGAGTTTCATCTACTGGATGTACTATGACCAGTACACCGGCTTTAGAAGTCGTTGGCAGATACTCGTAGTGTTCAATGTTGATTTCCAGCAACAGGCCAGTTTGTGGGCCAGGCCGGGTTGCCCATCTGTATTTAGAAAGTGTAATGTAAGTAAGAAAGTAAAGATCTCTTGTCAAGCCTTTAGGCGCATTGGGCATATGTGAATAGCAGCCAATTTTTTTACAGACTAATCGGCACTAGGTGGGCAATGTGTTCAGCATTACGCCGCGGTCTTTACTTCTCGACGACATACATCCTGGTACCCATTTTAGGTTGGGTCGACCTGCGACACCCCTATAGCATAATAAAAATCCACGCAGCCAGCAGTGGGTTTCGATCGCTGTACTTTGGAATTACCAGTTGGACTCGCAACGCCTAAGCCACGTACGCCTCAAAAAGTGTAATGTAAGATTTGATAAATGAGAACTGTATGTTCAAAAGCTAACTGTATTTGTGTTATTTGGGATCATTACGTTATCAGGGATCATTACAGATGTGGCCCCATCTGCTTTGAAAGAGGCGAGGGTTCGAATACTGTGTATCACAAACATCAGAAAGAGGAAGACACCATTGTGCGGTCGTATTGTGACCAGAAAGGAAGCTGGAATATGTTGTGAACAACGGAAATATCTGTGGAAAACGAGACAGTAGAAGACAACGCAAGACGATTCTTAGCAGCATTTTGTCATAGCATGGAGAGGTGTTAGTACACAAACTAATACATGCTGTTAAAGGTAGCAGATTGTGGAGAGGCATGATTGCCCACGCCAGTCGTCAAGGCATTGAGTGTGATGATGATTGCAAGTGTTGAGGTAGGAGGAAAATGGATATAGAAATCAACGCACAATCTGCTACTGGTACAACTAACACCACTCTATACACACAGAATTATACCTTTGCATATCATGGCTTATCTAATGAAAACTATAATTTGGCCAACTAGATGCTACTTTTCAAACATGGACATTTACTAACATTAAAAAGTGCAAAATCATAACACAGATGAGCTAGCCGTGTAAGAAGAAAACAACATTAAAAATACTCGAGTTTATTAAAAAGCGACAGATGAGATGGTCTGGCTTTTTTTGACGCGAATACACTAGTCATCATCATCATCAGGTGCCTTGCCGACTGGCGTGGGCGATCATGCCTCTCCATAATCCGCGATCTCCTGCAGCATGTATCAGTTCGTGTGCCGACACACCTCCATGCCATGCAAAAAGACTGTCAAGCATCTTCTCTCGTTGTCTTCCTCTATCCCTCCTTCCACAGATCTTTCCAGTGGTCACAACATGTTCTATTTTCCATCTTCTCATAACATGGCCGAGAAATGATGACTGTCTCCTTCTGATGTCAGTGATAAAGTTGTCTTCGGTCTCCCGCCTCTTTTAAAACCTCTTGGTTGCTCTTTTTGGCTGTCCAAGGTATTCTAAGCATTCTTCTGTAAAACCACATCTCTGAGGCCTCTAAAAATTGTTTGGCCTGCCTACCAATTGTCCAGGATTCACATCCATATGTTAAAACTGGAATACACTAGTACTCCCGAGAAAAGCCGCCAGCTCAACTATCCGGGACACAGAAATTATATTATCAGACAGACTATAGGAACAACACTACGTAGCAAATTCATTAAGAAACAGAAGATCATATGCCTTGGGCATCTAGTAAAAATGCAGCCAGAAGAGCTACCAACGCAGCGACTGCACATAAAAAGATCTGAAGTAAAATCATGAGGTCATCGTAGGAGAATATGCATTGACGAGATTAAAGAGCATTTACGTCGACACAGAATGACAATAGCCATTGCTGCCCAACAAGCAATGGATCGCCAACTGCTCCACACTACGTCGGTTAGAGGCATCCTGCAGGCCACCACGCTGTTTAAAATGACGTAAATACCTCCGTGTTTGGCACACGATGCAGTTTATCAGCCAGTTCCCGATGTTCAGATTACGTAGGATAACAGTATTTGTTCTTTCTTGGTTCACGGTATTCTAAGAATTTATCTGTAGCATTTCAGTTCAAAAACTTCGATTCTTTTTGTTTCCTGTAAAGATTTAGTAATATTCAATGACTCACAGCCATAAGTTGCCACGGGAAAGCTGAATGATCTCAGAATCTGTGCTATAGCTTATTCCTACTATTATTAATCATACAATTATTAATGCAAGACTTTTTGTGATTTTTTGTTGTTGTCGTGAAGTGGCCGATAATTTTTCGCTCATCATAATCAAATGCCATGACCGACCTCAATCTGCGTTCTTCAGCAATATGTATCAGCTGGTGTGTTAACACCACTCCATAGCAAAAAACTGTCAAGAATCGTTTCGAGTTGTCCACTTCTGTCTATTTTCTAAAGATCTTTCCAGTGGTGAAAGCGTGGTCCAGTTTAAGTCTTATCATAACATGACCAAATATTACGATTGTCTCTTTCTGATATCTGTGATAAGTTGTGTTCGAACCCTCGCAACTTCTTTTTCGAGCCCTCGCCTCTATCGAAACATCTTAGTTGCTCTTTTTATTTGGCTGTCCAAGGAATTCTCAGGATTCATTTCCAGGATGCAATACCATATGTTTATTGTATTTATTGTTCTTTGTTTTAAGAAATGAAGTTTTAACCTTTCCTATTCAGTTCTGTATCTCTGTGACACACCTTGTGCTGGATGTCATCCATGTGCCTGGACACTTAAGTGTCTCTACTTGACCGAGACTGATGTCTTTGAACTAACAATTGGCGGTTACGTGTGGTCTGTCTCCCTAGAATTATTGTAATTTTGCTATACCAAAGATGTACTCATGCTTCGGTCATGCTTAGATCATGCTTAGGTCATGCTTAGGTCATGCTTAGGTCATGCTTAGGTCATGCTTAGGTCTTGCTTAGAGCCATGGAGAACTCAGCGAACCAACAAGTTCTCTGGTGGCGGAGAAAGAGCACACTGTGAGTCCCACCGTATCTACGTATCAAAGGGGAAGACAGACCCACAATCGATATTTCCTTTAGAACGAGTACAGCGCACTTCTGGCTGCTGCCCTGGGAGGTAGGCCATCCACAGACACCCCAGCACCACAATGTCATACCAAAGATAAATGTTGTCTAGTTTGCCTAATTGGGGGCATAAAACAAATATTTCTGGTCGTCAAAAAACCATTATCATTTATTTTTGTGGTTGCACGACTCACACACATACAGAGAGAGAGAGAGAGAGAGAGAGAGAGAGAGAGAGAGAGAGAGAGAGAGAGAGAGTGAGAGAGAGAGAGAAACAAAAAGAGGAAAGATGAGGAGGGCAGGAGAAAAAGAAATAATAACTACTTATTATTTAAATGATCAAAACACGTACTGTAGTTCGGGATCCGTTATTTCGAAGGTATAACATGTTCCATAGGATGCAGTCTCTATTTTTGTAAAGTTGTCGGAGAAACACTCCCGCTAAAATAAAATTTAAAAATTACCAATAAACAACAAAGGGACAGAAAAATTAAATTATATAAACAACATAATGCTGTGATTTCTCTGTTTATATCTTCTACATGTCTCTGTTGAAACACAAGGCATTAAAGTGTGATCTCCCTTGCTTTCGGCTTCTTTTTTCAACCAATAGTATCCCATGTCATTTTAAATCCTTCATTTCCATCACTAATGTCCCACTCAACATTTCGTTAGTAGGTCCTTTTTCGCCTTGTGAATTTCTCGAAATAGAGAGAGAGAGAGAGAGAGAGAGAGAGAGAGAGAGAGAGAGAGAGAGAGAGAGAGAGAGAGTGAGACAAAGTGAGAGTGAGAAAGAACGTAGAGAGATTGAAAGAGTCAGAAAGAGTGGGAGAGAGAGTGAAAGAGTCAGAGAGAAAGTGAGACAGAGTGAGAGAGAAAGTGAGAGAGAGAGTGAGAGAGAGTGAGAAGGTGTTTGAGAGTGAGACAGAAAGTGAGAGAGAGAGAGTGATAGATATTCAGAGAGAGTGAGAGAGTGATAGAAAGAGGGAGAGAATAAAACTGAAAGAGTGGATAAGAGAGAAAAAAGGAGAGAGTGAGAGAGAGTGAGATAGAAAGTGAGAGAGAAAGTGAGAGAAAAAGTGAGAGAGTGAGAGAGACAGAGGGTGAGAGTAAGAGAGAGAGCAAGAATCACGAGTTCTGCAGATATGTCGAAGCCATCTCCAATTTATTTTTAGCCATGACGTTTTCCTCCGCTATTCTACATTTATCAACTAATTTGGCCAAAACATTAGACATTTGTTTGTTTAATTTCCACTTTATATGTTATAGACTCAATGTAATTACAGCTAATTATCACATGTAGTTTGAAAACACACACATACATGCACACATGTATACATATATATATATATGGAACAGTGTTTTCACGGCTCCAGGCTTATTGGGTATACATTGCTGGCCTATATTTTACAGATCAATCGGTATAGTATATGGTCAACATAACGCTGACCGCCTTTGGGGAGGTAGTGTCTCTATTTTTGTTATCCCCACAATGGGACCCAGAACCCACAAGGGGAGAGAAACTGCAAGTTTCACTCTAATATAGTTTCTCACGGAAGATGCTTACTGTCACAGTGATTGAGCTATGATTATGGAACACAAGCAACTAGAACTTTTGTATACATACTACTACCCTACTTACCCTGTTAAAAATACACTTCATCAGCATGTTCGATATCTGATGCCCTGCTTTGTCGCCATTGACCATGGAGTCGTTATACATCAGCCCGTTGAGAATAGCATCACCTGCAGCCTCCTCTGTCTATTTAAATATGAAACAAGTAATAATATTGAGTAGACTAGACTATAAAGATATTGACATGCACAACCTTAATACCCACCCACACCAAACCACACCTACAAATTTTATAAGGACACTTATTAAACTTGATTCTATTTCAATCGCATTTACTAGAAAAGAATGATGTCCAGCTCATATGAAATCAAGGAGCCGCCCTTGCAGAATATAGACTGATGAAGAGCTTTTACACCTCTGCAACCCATCAGGTGATGGATCGCAAACTGTTTTTCGCCACAACGCTTAACGACAGATGTGCGAATTGATGATGATGATGTTAACTACTGCATAGTAAAATTTATACAAACGATTTTATTTTCTTGACGACTGACGTCTACCTTAGACCGAATGTCGTCTATTTGTCTTCAAACCCCTCTTTCTAAACAACATCATTTTAAAAGAAATATTTGCGCGTCTGATCAATTTTTTCTTCATAAAACAGCTACTAAGGTTCAAGGATACAGAACACATCTAAATTCATCTCTTTATTCAAAAGCTGCTGTTCTAATACTGAAATCGAATTGTGGTCGAGTCTCCTTCTGTATAATATCGAGACTGCCTCATAGTTCTCCTCCTCTACATCCTCCGTCTTCAACTTGTTGTTGTTGTTTCTTCTTCTTCTTCTTCTTCTTCTTCTTCTTCTTCTTCTTCTTCTTCTTCTTCTTCTTCTTCTTCTTCTTCTTCTTCTTCTTCTTCTAGATAGACAGATAGATAGATAGATAGATAGAGATAGATAGATAGATAGATAGATAGATAGATAGATAGATAGATAGATAGATAGATAGATAGATAGATAGATAGATAGATAGATAGATAGATAGATAGATAGATAGATAGATAGATAGATAGATAGATAGATAGATAGATAGATAGATAGATAGATAGATAGATAGATAGATAGATAGATAGATAGATAGATAGATAGATAGATAGATAGATAGATAGATAGATAGATAGATAGATAGATAGATAGATAGATAGATAGATAGATAGATAGATAGATAGATAGATAGATAGATAGATAGATAGATAGATAGATAGATAGATAGATAGATAGATAGATAGATAGATAGATAGATAGATAGATAGATAGATAGATAGATAGATAGATAGATAGATAGATAGATAGATAGATAGATAGATAGATAGATAGATAGATAGATAGATAGATAGATAGATAGATAGATAGATAGATAGATAGATAGATAGATAGATAGATAGATAGATAGACGATGTAATAACAAATACGTTTACCTCTTCTAATAAAGAGATCGCTGCAAGAAGTTCCGGATCTATCATGGATTTTCTCTTTTTATTCAAGTTGCAAAATGTGACCCCTGGAAAGATTGCCGTAGTTTCTTGTTTCAAAGTGACCACGGTCGTCACCGGATAACTATAGAAGTCCTCCATCGTGATCACAAACTGATAGACTGCAAATGCTACACCAAACAGAAACAACACTGACCACACGCATCGTTTCCACGTACTGGTTGTTGTGAGCACTCGATTAATGCCGTGCATGGACGTGCTCCCACCAAACTCCTCGTACAATTTCTTCAACGAGTTTGTTTCTGATTCTTCTGTTTCGCTCCCTCCCATATTTGAACTGACCCGAAGGAAATTATTTGAAGATGTAAATCTTTTACTTCAATTGTTCGGCTCGGCTTCTAATAGAAAATTGCAAAGAAATTACTCTGTCTTTTCTCATCCAGTTCTTTTTAAACTATTGGCTCTGGCGCATCACTGTTGATTTTCTGTGACTGAAACGAGAGTGTGAAAAGAATAACTGAACTGAACTGAAAGAGGACATGACGGAACATATTTGTATCATGTTGCATGTAGTAAAAGTTAAACTATATTTCCTCGCATGAAGGAAGAGTTTAGTTTCGTTTCCTAAACTATTGATATTTGTGGCCTTATTGGATACTAAGCATAGTCACTTCAACATTATAGGCATTTTAGTGGACATAAAAGGGTGTGACTCAATGAAGGAGATCTCTGTGTGGGTTCTGGGTCGCCTATTATAGGGGAAACAAAAATAGACACACTGCCTTCCTAACAAGCATGTCGTAAGAGTCGACTAATTAGCGGCATTCTTCGAAGTCGGAGTGCATCTGCCTTAGAGTAACTAACAATCTGCATACAAGTAATTCAGATCTGTAAAACGGATATGCATGCGACACTCAGGTTCTGGAACAAGTCTAAAGTTTGAAGGTCGGTGAACAACCAAAACTTTCAGGCGGAGAAGAAGAAGAGTGAAAGAGGATTGTTTCGCTAGAAAAGCGACAGAGATTGACAAACAAATAATGGATATTTTCATATACTTCCCATGTCAGTTTTCACACATAAGACAGTTCATGTGTTTTTCTTCACTTCCCTTTCTACTGTTCTCTGCGTTTCTTTAGATACTCCACGTCTTCTTGTACTATCTGTCATTCGAAGGAGAGCTGCTCTTGTGCCAGTACCACAATGTATTCTGCAAACATCTTCATCTTGCTTGTTTGTGAACACTTGCCAGTGATGGAATTTTGTTTTTCTCACAATTTCTTTATTTGTGGTCTTGTTATGCAAAATATTTGACTGATTGTCATTAAAAAATTGTTCTGACAGGTCAATGTTTTATGTGGAATTTCCGCTGTCAGTTTTCAAAAGCTCCAAAAAGATCTGACAGAAATTCAAAAGCGTTTATATGGCGCACTCTGATGGAAGCCACCATGCTTCATGAAACAAAATGAGTAAGGTTGAGGAACTTTGGACATCGGTATAAATAAGGCAAAAAATGATAGGCGAGAGGGGAAATGTTAAATGTTTACAACTAGTGTTTTACTGTACCAGTTAGTTAGTTAAATAGTTAGTTGGGTTATCATCATTGAACTCCAGACATATCCATAGGTGCTCAAATCTTCCCATCAGTTTGAACCCCAGCATCCTGTGGCTAATAGTGCCAGTTCTATATTGATTAACAAGTCTTCTGATGTGAGTCTCTATGCCGATATTAACTTCCTTTACTTAATGTGGATTCATTGCCCCCAAAGTCATCCACCCTTCCCATTTCTCAGAGGGCATTAAAAATATCAGCATAATCCATGGGTTAACCGTCGGCGGTGATGGTGAATCCAGCCAACCTGTCAGCTCTTTAATTCTAATCGACGCCCGAGTGTTCTGAAACGATAGGTGACTCCATGCACAGTGAACTTCTATAATAAGTCAAGCCACTGCCTTCGCACTGAATCTGCCTAAACCCTCCGGATCATATTCATTGAATCACTGAGTACACATGCGTGGGTGTAGTTTTGTAGTTTTTATACCATCTGGGTATATTATTTGCTGTGGAAGCTTACTCCGGTTAACTTTGTATGGTATGATCACCCAGTTCATATAGTAATGTCTTCAATGAATTAAAAGGAACCTTTCTACTCCTTCAAGCGTTCCAGACATTTAGGGCTATGCCTATATTTTATAGATCAGTCATCACTTGGTGGGTGATGCGATCAGCATCTCGCCAGCCGCCTTTACTTCCTAAAACTTGCACTTGGTACCTACTCAATGATGGGTTGACCTGGGAGCCGGGGCCATTTATTAAAGAAAAAAAAAAAAGGTCAGGTTGTGTCAATCGTTCCACCAAAGCGGTTTCCATGAGTCTTTAGTATTTATGTATTTGAAATAAAGACGAACTAATAGCTCAGATTATTTTTTTTACATAAAAACCCCTAAACTAATCACAAAACAGTGGGTGAAGTGACGACATCAAAGATTCCAGGGAGAAGATGAGAGCATTGACTTCATTGCACCGGATTGTATCCCATATGGCTCTCTCTCCGCAGAACAGCTAGCTGCCTGCCGAGAATGTCACACAGAGCACGACCTCCGTAGCTTCCAGTAACAATGGGAAACGTTAGACCTCAGAAATCATATAGTCTTGATCTTAGCAAATTTGCAGCTTTATTGTACCCTATGCTTACTTATTTCCTGTGCTAATGAAAATAAAATGAAATGTGCATAACTGTTCCATTTTAGAAAACTCGCGAACAAGCTATTAGTCCCGGCACAATGCAGAAATTTGCGGACGCAGTAAATGCATACCGCATTTGCTAGAGGCACTAAAGCCAACAGTCCCCACCAGAATTAGTAAGTTGTTGATAGAAGTAGTCGGGTACCGCGATAAGTTGCTTATACACACCTAGAATTATTACATAATGTTTTTCACCAGGCCACAGTTGAACAGGCTCTCGGTCAAATTGAATATATCGACTCAACGGCTCCACAAATTAAAGGCATTCCACGTGAAAAAAAAAAAAAAGGGCTGCAACAAAACGGTTCGGTCTCACATCGCAAAACGGCTAGTCTCATACCGAGGGCCTAGCACAGAGCACAAATCCGTAGCTCCTGCGACAGTCCCCAGGATTTCTCCCTAAATACTGTACTGGTAAACTGAACGACCTGTCCGTACAACAAAAGTACGACTTTCAGAGGTTTGACGACTTCTCAACCTGATTAGGCAATTATCCATTTTCTTATCCTTTTCAAAGACCTATTGCTATTAATTATTGCCCATGTCATCCGATTTAATTTGGTGTACAGGACTCTGATTTCCTGATGACAGCTCGATAAAGGAACATCGCCACCAGCGTTCTCTAGAAGGACAAGAAGGAAAACACCACGTAGGCTTCTTTTGATATAGTGCGTTTACAAATGTTCTAATAATTATAAATCAGTTGTTCTGGAATAAAACAGAATTAAATTATATACTATTATTTTCTTTATTCTCCATGTTGTGTCATATTTTCCCCTAGCATAACCAGTAATTAGAATGCACTTTCGCTTATTTTAGGTAAATAAATGTGCGATTATCCTTGCTGAATTCCCTTTTAAGGGTTATACAGCACAACGTACAAATGGAACCGATAGACATTTTACAAAACTCCTGTTTCTTGCGCTTGACGTAAATTCCAATACTATTGTCCTTAAGCTCTCTCAACGTGCTATAAAATCAGCTGTAAAGAGCTTACTTATGTGGTTATTCATATCAGTACCTCACAGGTTATTCTGTTACCTAACTTGAATTATACGAGTGGTGAAAATAACAAAGTAAACATTTCTTTCCAAACAACTGGGCAGTCTGAATATTATTCATGTACAAAACCTTAAAGTCCAGATGAAAATAGGAGCCAATGGAGAAAACAAATCACGCTGACAGGTAGGTAATTAACAAAAAAATATCAAAAATACAAAGGCACCGATTTGTAATAAATAAATAAGGTAGTAAAGTAAGAGATGAGAACAAGTAACACACACAGTTGTACGAGCGACTAACAACTTGAACTGTGTTGAGCACTCACTTGTATTCACAACAAGCCAGAAAGTACTCTCACATGCGGGGATCACAAACTACTTATGTGGGTGCACTAAGCAAGGTAAAATCAATGACATTATGCTATACCATCCAAACAATTAAATTTTAATTATGTCAGTATATGATTATAGAAGCATGGCTTGTTCAGAACCTTCGTAACGATGATCAGGTAGAATAAATTATTAGCACTTGACAATACAGGTTCCAATGGACCACGAGGTGAAGATAGAACGCTGTCGCTGGGTAGCGCACAGTTGATGAAAGTCTGAGGACAGTATAACTAGAAGTCTTTGCACTGTAATCCACATAGAAATACAGGGACAAAAACACCTGGAGAAGGGAGCGAGAGAGTGACATTAAACAGATGGGGAGGACATAGGGGTGATCTAACAACTTGAACTGTGGGGTGACCGGTTTGCTATGAAGCTGAAACTAGGATTACCGGATTACCAGATGGGGGTGATCTGCATCAAATAGCGAAAGATGGAACCACTTGTCGTGAGTTGGTTCAGGGTCTATGCCACAGTTGGGGATAGAAAGCAAAAGAAGAATTCACAATATTCATTTCTACTATGCTTATATCCATTACCACCCACACATAAACACGATAACAGTAAGAGTGAAAGAAAGGGGGAAAAGTGAAGGGAAAAACCTAAAATCACATACCGGGAAATTAAAATAACTGATCTCGACTAATTTTGGCTTGCTAAAAGCGAAAATGACATTAACAAATTTTGATTGGCTCTAGTTTTCAAGACCGATGCTACTAGTTTATTCCGTACAATTCGTGAAAGTCAGCCTATCTCGTTGACCGCGAGATTTCGTGGAGATTTCCCAGGACAGTCGTAGTCTAGGTAAGCATTGTTTCCTTGTTAACGTTTTAAGCACGAATAGTACTTCTTCTTGCACAATGGCACTCTCGGCCCCTAAGACCGACTCATAGCACTACATTTCAAAAACAACAGTCGTTTACAGAAAAGAGATTTTCGAAAAGAAAGTTGCTCACTTTTGTCTAGGAAATAGTGTGTCGACCGCGTCGAAGAAAGACATATAATAACACACTTCTAAAATCAAGCCTGATGTTACCAATTGGTAATAGGGGTTTCGTCCTTTTTAGGACGACATTTTTTTTTGTTTTTTGAAGCCCCACCCTGGCTTTTGCCAGAGGCCGCAATATAGGCAGGCCATAAATATGGGCAATTGTCTGAACGCGGTTTCTGGGACCTCTCCACGGTGATCTTTATCC